ACGGCGCGGCGACGGGTTGATCAGCTTGTCGCTTGTCTGATAACAGCGGTACAGCGGTGCTTTGACCTCTCAGCTTCCCCAGAGAATGAACGTAACGGAAATCATGGGTTCCGCGACAGACTCGGCGCTAACAGAACCCGAAGACTCTATCACGTAGTCTCCTGGCACAATTCCCCAAGAGGCGCCTCATGTCCAGGTTCTTGGTGGACAAGCAAGTCGAGCTTCAAGCAACCTGAACATAAGAGGCAGACTAACAGAATAGGGTGGTCAAGACACCCCACAGGTGCTTTCCACATTGAGTAGTGTAGTTCGAGATACCGCCTGCCTGCCCGACCCTCGAAGCTGACTGGGGTGGGACAAGGCGGTGATGGTGGTCTTGGGAGAGCTCGGCTCGTCAAGCTGTAGTGCAGGCGGCTGTCCACGGTGGTCCCCCCTCCCCGGTGGATGTGATGGTGTGCCAACCTAGCTGGGCCAAGCCAGGAACACAGCTACCTTGTCGATTGGCAGTGTAGGTAGTCGGAGACCATGATTACGACCTAGAATAAGTAGGACAAAGACAGAGCAGGGTTGCGTACTCACTACATGGTAGTTGGTTTGTAGAGTACCAACTCGAGTCCTCAGCCAGGTAGAGTACAAGCGACCAGCACCCAGGCCGGCCAGGCCAGGCCAGCCAGGGTAAGGTGATACTGGAGTCAACGCGCGAGTGCTCGCTTGGCTTGACGGACAGAAAGTGGACGTTCCCGTTCCCGGCTATGCAAGTTGCTCTGGCGAAGGGACACGAGGGAGTCCCTGGGCACAGCTTCAACGGTCTGGCTTTCCGGTACGGTACGTACTGGACATACACACACACACACACACACACACACACATATCAATGCCGTAGGTTGGTATATTACTGTATCATCTCTCGACATACAATCCTCATATCCCAATCGCTTTCCTGCTGGAAGGCAAAGAGATGACATCCTGTCTTGCCCGTGGCTGCTGCAACCCCCGTCCGACGGACTTCGCTGCTGCTGGTGACGAAGATTGATTGATTGATTGCTCGCTGTCCTTCCCGCTGCATAATTCAGGGTTCTTCCCTGGAGAAAGTGCCAATTGTCCGCTTCACAGCCCGCCTCTACCTGCCTGCCAACAAGAAGCCGGTGCTTTTGTTTGATCTACCACACACCGGACTTCGCAAATACCATACCTTACCGTCCCCTACCTGACCGTACTTATTAGCCTGTCTGCATCGTCCCATTGAGTCGAGAGCACTCCATTGTCGTCGACTTTGTTTGACTTCAACCTCGTTCTCTCCACCTCTACATTTTCTCCCCCCCTCTCATCATCCTCCCCCTCCTGTCTTCCTTTCTTTTTAGAGAGAGTAGACAGGGAAACACAGCCTACAGTCTCCAGCGTGTCTCCACGCTGCTCCATAACGTTATACTCCAGCCCCCCACCCCGCTACTGCTGTTGAACCTTGGCTTGTCACCCATACTACATACTACATAGTACCTAACCTACCTACACTTGGCTTTGTATCCTGCATCAAGCCGAAAGACGAGAACCGGCAGGGGACATTTTGGGAGAGCCCATTCCCTCTTGCCTTAACCTGTCATGACACGCCGACGCAGCAATTGAAACGGATATCAGGTTTCCCATCGGACAGGCCCTGCAAACGGCCGTCAGCTTTGCCATCTCTCTCGTCCGTACGCCGCATCTCACAGACTGCTTCTTGGTAGAACGAACGAGTCTTGGTAGAGCCATTCCAACGTGACGGCGGGATCTGTGTCCTACACTACTCGGCTCGCGAGACCACAACTGGGGCCCCCTTTGGGATCATCGCAGGGGGACCACACGTTACCACCGTTGGCCAGAAACTGTTTTTTTCTTGCTCTGTACCACCAACATCACCAACTCAAGCACCCGTGTCGGAACTTCCCACAAGGCCGGTCCCTGCTCTTTCGCACGAGCTAGACAGAGCACCACCATTGCTCCTCCCGGTCTCGTGTCTTCTACTGGGCGTACTTGAGACTTAACACTGCCGTTGAGGAGATACGTCTGGCTTTCTCTCCATTTCATTCTGGTCGGCGCATGGAGAAGCTGCTTGCAAATCTTAACCGGAAATCGCAGTTGCTGGCAAGACGCAATCTCCATGGAACAAACATTTATGACAATTCACAGTGAGTGGGAAATCCCTTGCGACCTCAAGAGTGCAAATCATGGTCAAGACTAGTGTTATACATGTGAATGGCAATGTCATTGAACGGCGTATGGTGGTCTGGCGTGGTCATGGTGCTAACATATAATGCACAGACCTTACTCCCGATGCGAACATTCTCTTTGCATCTGACTCTATTATCGATATTCTAGGCTATCATCCAGACGAAGTGCAGGGGAAATCATGTTTTGACTACTTTCATCCAGAAGAGGTTCCGTTTGCGCGATCGGTGCATAGCAGGGGCGTGTTGCTTGACAAGGCAGCCGTACTTCATTACTGCAGAATTCTCTCCAAGGATGAGCAATGGGTGAGCTGCGAATGCTGCTTCACGATAGTGCATGATGTGTTAGTCGCCTGCACCAGTATATATCGCCGGGGTGAGAGAAGCCAGAGTATGTGTGGCTCTCCTTGAATCTGGTTGTTGGATGGTAAACTAATCGCGTGGGTTGGCAGGGCGCGCAATCGAAGCTCCACAGATCAGGCGGATCTTTTCATGTTCGCCTCGAGACCCGCGATACCACATGCTGGAGCACCTCTCTCCCAAATTTAAGATGCCGCCGATGGAGCGTGAACCCAGAGCAGCATTGATCTTGAATCGTTTTACAAGAAACCTTACTGTTATGTTTGCCACTAACGCCGTGTCATCCATCTTTGGACTACGGCCGGACCAGATCAAGAACAAGAGTTTCTACCGATGCATTCAGGAAAATTGCCTGCCAGAAGCGCTCAAATGTCTTGAAAGTGCCAAGGCAAACGATTCGATCGCTTACTTGCGCTTCTGGTTTCGAGATCCCCGGGATGAGGAAGACTTCGACGAGGAGGAACACGACGAAGGTGACGTGACACGTAACGGCAGTGATTCTAGTGACTCAGATGGCGGTGGTGTAGATATTAGCTGTGACATGGACATCGACTCGGACAACACGTCTCACAATATCAAGCGGGAGGAAAGTCCTCCGAGGCAGGGATTGAGAGAAAGATTCCCGCCTAGCATCGACGCGATGACGAACCCAATAATGGGCCCCACATCACACAGGACTTCTTCAATCCCCGAAGCTCCTCGTCAAAGGATACGAGAACCGCTTCCATCTATAGAGTTGGAGGCAGTCGTGTCTTGCACATCTGATGGTCTCGTCGTTGTGCTTCGAAAAGCGCGACCCCCTATTCCGGCCGCACATCCACCCTTACTTCCACTAGACTTCGAAAACGGACTTTTCGCTGCGCCTTGGGGTCAACAGCCCATTCAGCCGCATGTCGACCCAGACATGCTGTACATGTTTAGACCGCCTCTACTACCGCAATACATGCCGTTGAGGGAAAGTGTCAAGGCAGCTGGCGGCCCTCCACTGGACCAACTAATGAGGTCGATCCGCGATGTTGCAGTATTCGCATGGGCGTTAGTGGGAATCAATGGCAACCTTGCCGCCTTCTCTCGCGGACTGCCAAGAGGCGATGCGTCTCCTCCAGACGGCCTGCCTGTTTGGGACCCAAATGCCGGGAATGTTCCGTACCGCGGGCCCGAGAACCAAGCAGCGTTACGTTGGGCGCAATTGGATAGTGGCAAGGCGCCGCCCGCCGCAAGCTACCTTCCTCCTTCGCAGCGTGCAGACCTTTCGCAAGGTTACGGCCAAGTACCGCAACAAAGTCGCGATAATTATACTTATAGCACACCGACGATGTGGCCGGGGTCTACGACGCCTTACAGCGCGGGCTACGAACGCCAGCAACAGCAGACGATGCTCCAACAGGCAACTCGGCACCATCAGCAGCCGCCCCCTGCCTACCATGGTTTGCCACAACAAGAATCGTGGCCTGAGCCGTCGGTGGGCTCACCGAACTTCCAAGCCAGCTATGTAGTTCCGACAACACAATCACCGTCCCCCAATGACACTTCACAACACTACCATTACTGGAAATGAATCTGGCTTGAGGCCTAGTCTCTTCAGCTTGTTTCACATATATCGGTATTATCTATTATCTAGGCAATGTCATTCGTTGCCGGGACTCTTAGTCCACAAGTCATCATGCGGAAGAGATGGTGTACTATCAAGGGCACGAGAACATCAAATATACTTTATCCTGCGGTTTATATCGCAGATCGAGAGACAAGTTGGTGTTCGCTCTCGGTCATTTTCTTTTTTAATCACTACGCTTACAACATATTGGGTAATGGGCGGCAACTTTGTTTACAAAATTTGTTCGGGGCATATCATATGGATACCACATTGGAGCATACACATCATTTTACTAGAAATGATTATTCGGTTGGGACGGACGATAAATGAACCTGAGAGATACCCAATGCCTACGAACGTATGCTGAAGTTAGTATTGCAAGCTTAGTTATCGTTTAATCATATTTGTACATAGCTATATGGTAGAAGAAATCGATTCATTCAGGACAAGACCAGCCTAGGTAGATCAAACCAATGACTGTCAATCTAGGCGAGCAATTAAGTGGTCATGCAGTGCATTCTTTTCGCCTGAGGTATCAGGGTAGACTTATACGAGATAGGGGTCCTGTAAGTCTTGGCGGCAGAGTACTCTGATTCGCCGACCCGCCCACATCTGGAGACAACCTTGGAAGGGAGGGAGCTTGGACCACCTGCCTACGCAACCTCGAGCTTCAGGAAACCGTGGTGCTTCCTTGCCTAGGACAAAACATCACAGCCATTTCGACAACTTAATTTACAGCACCAGCACCAGTGCCGCCACCCCACTACCACGACTACGAAGTGGGCGTCGAAAATTGATTGCGAGATCAAGTTGCATACACCAGCTAGTTGTGTTAAGCGAAGATGGCAGCTTCGAGCAGCAGGGGGGACTATTCAAATCCCCCGATCGACGACGAGGACGACTTGATCGACCCTGATGATGGTGCGTAAATCCGTTACCTATGGATCCGCTTCGGCATGGCCACCTGCAAACTCCAGAGATATTGGGGCAATGGTAATGATGGATGTCGCTAACTCAAAACAGCTGATCTGAATGACTTCGACGATCCTCTGCAGCAGTCCTCCCGCCAACCCCTAACGGGCAACATTGGCTCCTCGTCATCCTCTTCGCGTCCGCTTGATGAAGGCTACCTGACATCTCGCATACCTGGCGAGGACCGTCGTGCCCCGACTAACACGATAGACGAATCCGTTTGGGACACCCTGCGACGAGATCTCCTGGCCGTTTGGTCCAAGATGCGCGAGGTGCTCTACCCCCGATACCTGTTTGGCGGAACCATGTTTGAATCCCAAGATGGATTCAGAGGCGCGTACGCCAATCTCCGTACGGCGGGACTAGCGGGCGCCCGAGAGGAGCTGCAGGGCCTCGCCGGTCGCGTCATGGATCCCGAGTCGCTCCTCACCCAGAACACCATGACGCCCGGCTTGAGGGACTGGGACTTGTGGGGCCCGCTCATCTTCTGCCTGTTGCTGAGTGTACTCCTCAGCCTTCACGCGAAAGAGGGACAGAGCGAAGTTCGTTTCAGCGGTGTGTTCGCCCTGATTTGGATTGGAGAAGCCGTCGTCACCTTGCAGATCAAGTTGTTGGGCGGCAACATGTAAGTCAACAAGCACAAATGGCGCTGTGCAATAGAGTTTTTGCTAACGATTACTGTCTAGCTCCTTTGCGCAGAGCGTGTGCATTATTGGATATACGCTATTCCCCCTGGTCATTGCTGCTACGCTGTCTGCGGTCGGGCTGCATCCGATCCCTCGAATCCCCATCTACATCGTCCTGGTGGCCTGGTCGCTGGCTGCTGGTGTCAGCATTCTCGGCGGCAGCGGTGTGGTTAAGAACCGAGTTGGGATTGCGGTGTATCCCCTGTTCGTCTTCTATCTTAGCTTGGGGTGCTTGTGCTTCATCAGCTAGAGAGGCAATGTGAGATTGTCGAGGATACTGCAGGGCGTGTTGGATGGAGGATCATTGGTTTGCATGGACGGCGCAAGATGTCGGGATGACCGATCGTGTGTACTTGTAAATATCCAAGTGTAATATTGACTTCAAAGCGAGAGGCTGGTTGCATGTACTCGGCTCATATAGTACTGCCGGGACATATTCTATTCCATTTTTGACACAGTCTTCTGGACGGAAGTCTCAAGCCTTATTGTAACATTGTTCGCAGGCGCCCAGAGTCCGGCTTTCATCTCTTTGTCTAAGCGAATTGGAGATAGAGTACAGTAGCTTCTCAAGCACTTCCTTTTCATTCTGTCTCAGGCTCATCCAAATCCAGAAGGGTATAGTCAGCGGTATGCTACCTAGACAGAGAACGGCGTGAGACAGAATTCCATTGGCCCAAGGGCTCGACGCTGTGAAATTATAGGCTTGATAAGAGAGGTCTTACGGATTTAACGTGCTTTCTCCTGCCCCACGTCGTCGCGCCTCAATTTGCGCCGATGCGGCGAGGCAGTGCGAATTAAAATGCCGTGCATTGTCCCGCCTACGGAAACAGCAATGGCCAGTGCCATTTCATCACTGCAGGACCCGTGCAGGGGCCTCGCTACCAATGAGACGGCGTTCTGTGCCCCGATCCAAGCCCTGGAAGTACCATTGCCCTGGGCAGCGCAAGCAGCCCACTTGCCATCTAGTCGTAGTTGGGTAGCCCAAAGCGCGACCACCACCCACCCAGCTGGACTCTACCCGTAGTTAGCTATTTACTACCTCACCTCTTTCACGACAATAAATAAGCTTTGCCTATTCAAACGATTGAACTACAAGACAACAATAACGGCGACCTTTTTTGGACTACAATAGCTGCCACCCCGAGACAAGGCTGCACAAGGCCGTATTGTCCACACAAACAATAGCAACAATACCAGGATAGCTCCGCTTTCAGCAATCCTCTTCACATAAAACCCGACCGCAGAGCCCTCTCTCAAGATGGCAGACGATCCACACAACACGAGCAACGTCTCCGACGAGCAAGTTGACGTTGAAACCAAAGAAGACGCCGAGACAGCCGCCGCGCGGGAAGAGTTGAAGCAGACCGTCATCTCAGAAAGAACAGCAAAGACAGCCGACGAGGCAACAAAAGACGAGATGGTGGCTACACGATCTGGCGGACGATACGGCGCCGATGCGCCGCCCAAGCCCGACGAGGCGAGAACGAAGACGCCCGAGCGCGAGGTCTCGGAGAACCAGAATGATCTACTGAAGGATCAGGTCTCTTCCCCCAAGAAGAAGCGCGCTCATGACCAACTCGACGAGCCGAAGGACAGCGCTCAAGACAAGGCCGCCGGTGAGGGGGCTAGATCTGAGCCAGAGAAGAAGCGCCCCAGAGATGGCCAGCGCGGCGACGACGAGTTGAGCAAGGGCTCACAGGACGGTTCGGTAAGTTATAGCATTTATGAAGGCTCGATCCCTTGGCTAAAGGAAATTTCCAGGAGCCTTCGCCCAAAGAGCAGAAGGACAGTATCCCGGCAGCCGAGAAGACCGCCGCGACCGACAAGAAGGAGAACACACCACCAGTCACATCTTCAACCGCATTCGAGAAGTCAGGTTTTGCCAAACTGTCTGCCGCAACCACATCTCCATTTGGAGCTTTAGGATCTTCTACAAAGAGCGTTTTTGGTGGAGCTAGCGCCTCTCCCTCACCGTTCGGTGCGCTGGGCGCTGCATCTGCTGCGAAACCCCCTACTCCCAGCCTGAGCTTCGGCAATGGCGTCGCAGCCTCTCCCTTCGCAAGTCTCAACGGCCCCTCCAAGGGCTTCGGCAGTCCATTTGGCGGTGGTAGCGCATTCGGCAGCGCCCTGTCTGGCGGCAAGCCTCTGTCGAGCTTCGGCAAGCCTGGCGAAGTCCTTAAGAGCGACAAGCCAGCCAAGCCGTTCGGTGCCCCAGAGAGCGATGCTGAGGATGACAGCAACGAAGACGACGACGAGGCTGAGAATGAGGCTGAGAACGAGAAGGAGAAAGATGAGGGCGATAAGGAGGACTTGAAGGCTGCAGCTGAAGAGAAGAAGAAGCTGCGGCTGCAACGAGGTATGTATTCATGTCTTGTCACATCTACGGACAGGAAACGGCTAACGAATCTATTAGTGGTGGTCGACGACGGCGAGGCAGGCGAAGTTACCATTCTTGCCGTGCGAGCCAAGATGTTCTACCTCGATAAGATTACCGCTAAGGACGGTAAAGAGGAACCTGCTTGGAAGGAACGCGGAGTTGGCAACTTGAAGATCAATGTCCCAGAGGAGTGCGTGTCTTTCGGCGATGATGGCGCTCCCATTCCGGGCTCGTTCGATGCCTCGGAGCTCGAGGATGACGGCGACAATGACGAGGGTGAGGGCAAGGCTAGGAAAGTTGTCCGCCTGATCATGCGTCAGGACTCTACCCTTCGTGTCATTTTGAATACAACTATCGTTCGAGGCATGGACTTTCAAGAAAAGAGCTCGCTAAAGTCGACAACTGTTCTCTTCACAGCTTTCGAGGGCGAGACAGGCAAACCCACGCAAATACAGATGAAGGTAAGTTTTTCCTACGGAAGTGTTCTTTGATTTGCCATTAACATGGGATGTAGATGAACGCCGCCAACGCCAAAGTCTTCCTGAACGAGGTAGAGTTTATCAAGCGAGAGCTCGAATCATGAAGTCGTCCTAAGTAACCGTTCTTTGCATGAAACACAATGTGTGGTGGAATAAACGAACACACGTATGATACAACTATGACTGTGCAGGGGCAATTTCTCTCATCATTGCTTGCCTCAGGGAGAGGAGAGGAGTTTTTTCTGGCAAATGAGCATTTCAAGACGGACGTAAGGATGGCTAGGCCAGGAGGTTCGTCGGCATACCAATGGAAACAAGGAGCATGGCTATGGCTCGCCGGAATCAAGGTAGCTCATGTATATACCAACGGTGGTTCATACTCGGTTTATGATAGCGAGAAACCCGCAACACACCCTTATAGACGAGGTAGCCGTGGAAAATGCGGATCAGGATTTGTCAAACAATTCACCGTTACTCTATAACTGCGACGCCAGGCGTTGATTTGTGACCAGACTTTACTAATTATAAACCAACAGATACCTCCCTCTGGGCTCAGATAATACTGCTGACCCGTGAGGCATCTATAGTGGTTGGCTTCATGACAGGCCGGATCCGATGTTCAATTAAGTGGTCGCACGTGACGCGCGTGAATTTCGTGTCAAAGTCTACGCGATACGCCACCCTGCTCTAGAAGACGTCACCACTCTCCTGAGACAACGGTGCCAACAGGTTGAATGATCGTTTGGCAGGCCAGAATCAAGATCATTCAAGTGTGATGGTGTGAGCAACCATGTCTACGCTCGGGCAACCGGTGCCGCTGCGCAGAGCGACTGGAAAGCGGAAACGTCCTCAATCAGCACAGATTGCTGCTGCCGATGGGTTGGCTACAGCAGATGGTCCGCCCGAGGCGGATTCGCCGGTGATCAAAGAAGAGGAGGGAGTTCCGAAGGCACGCCGAACGGCGAAGTCAAAGAAAGCGCCAAAGCTGCAGAAGGCAGACTCAAGTATACAAGCTGTTGATTGTCTCGTTGAGTGGCCTGAATGGTTCAAGAGACTGGAGAAGACGCACCGGGCGCTGAATCTTGTCTTTACGTTCTGCAGCACCAGAAAGCACCTAGCTACTACGTTTGATACGATTCGCTCCACAGTCGAGTCTCATATCAAGCGGGAGCTGCTCATCGAGGATGTAGCGGCGATTGTGGCTCTTCGTCCAACAGGCATCAATTTCGGCTATGTGGATGAGGTCATGCTGCAAATCGATGTCAAGGGAGCAGAAAAAGACGATACTTTCAAGACCGGCAGGTATAGAGGCAAGTCTTCACAGGCGTATGCGCCCGATGCATCCGTCGGTGGCTTCACTGGCAGAGAAGGTCTTGGCCCGGAGGAGGACATCGAGACAACCGGAAAGGAAGTTCTTTACTTAGAGTTCATTGACGGCGACCTGAAGCGCCAGGTACAAGACAAGAAGACTGGGGAGCCGACAAAGCCGACAAGGAAGCTCCGGGAGGAGGAGCTTAAGATGCCAGTCTTTAGCCAGAAGCAGTTGACGGAGCTCATCGAGAAGCGCAACGCTAGATTCACAAACGCAGCAAATGAGTTTATCAACCGATGTGTTGCCGACAGTCTTGATCCAGAGATGGCTCTCAAGAGCGAGGCTGAGAAGTTCATCCCGCAGCCAACTGAGACCCGAGAGTCTTCGCCACAGCTGGTACCAAGTACGCTCCCAGAATCGATCCCGACGGAACGGAAGACGATTCCGGAAATCATACAAGAACTGAAAGAGAGCTCCTGGTACACGGGACAGATTGTCCCTGATGGCCACCGGGTGTTTGACGCTCAAGAGCCGGTGTACGGAGATCTTAACTTTCTCTTGAGTCAAGATTTGGTGAACGCACTATACAACGCGAAAGGCGTCACGCAGTTCTACGCTCATCAAACTGAGGCCATCAATAATCTTCACGACGGACATCACGTCGTTGTCTCGACTTCGACAAGTTCGGGCAAGTCACTAATCTATCAGCTACCGGTTTTGCACGCCTTAGAGAGTGACCACAATGCGAGAGCCATGTACATATTCCCCACAAAAGCTCTGGCTCAAGATCAGAAACGGAGCCTGAAGGAGATGCTTTCCTATCTACCAGGTTTAGAAGAAGTCTTGGTCGAGACTTTCGATGGAGACACCCCCATGAAGGAGAGGAATCTCATTCGTGACGAAGCCCGCATCATTTTCACTAATCCAGACATGTTGCACATTACCATTCTTCCTCAGGAAGAGAGGTGGCGAACATTCTTGAAGAATCTGAAATATGTTGTCGTTGACGAGCTACATTATTATAACGGGTTGATGGGATCACACGTTGCATTCATCATGAGGCGCTTACGACGGATATGTGCAGCAGTAGGAAACAGGCGCGTTCGCTTCATATCATGCTCTGCCACAGTAGCCAACCCCGAACAGCATTTCAAGACAATATTTGGCATTGATGATGTCAAACTGGTTGATTTTGACGGTTCGCCGTCTGGTCGCAAGGAGTTCCTCTGTTGGAATACGCCTTTCAAGGAAGCTGGCGATCCCTCGAGCGGGCGTGGCAATGCCATGTACGAGTGTGCTCGTCTATTTTGCCAACTCATCTTACGCGGTGTTCGTGTCATCGCATTCACCAGGGTCAGGGAACAGTGTGAGAAGCTTGTTGGAGCTGTGAAACACGAATTGCAGACCCTTGGACGACCCGAATGCATCGCACGTGTGATGGGTTACCGTGGCGGTTACACCGCGCAAGATCGGCGCCAGATCGAGACCGAAATGTTCGAGGGCAAGCTGATGGGCATCATCGCGACCACTGCGCTTGAACTGGGTGTTGACATCGGATCCCTGGACTGTGTACTCACCTGGGGGTTTCCATACACAATCGCCAATCTGAGACAGCAGAGTGGCAGAGCTGGCCGACGGAACAAGGACTCACTTTCCATTCTGGTTGGCGACTGTTTTGCTACAGACCAGCATTACATGCAGAATCCTGATGAGTTGTTCACGAAGCCGAACTGCGAACTGCAGGTCGACCTTGACAACATGCTCGTTCGAGAGGGTCATGTGCAGTGTGCAGCATATGAAATGCCAATCCGACCACAGGTGGATGCCCAATATTTTGGAGACGATTTACTTAAACTGTGTGAAGAGCGACTTCTGAAGGATGAATTAGGTTTCTTCCACTGCCATGACAGATTTCGGCCGCTACCTTCCAAGTTCGTCTCTATAAGAGATACCGAAGATGAGCATTTTGCAATTATCGATATCAGCCACGGCCGAAATGTGGTTCTGGAAGAGCTCGAAGCGTCCAGAGCGACCTTCACCATATACGATGGTGCCATATTCCTGCACCAAGGCAATACGTATCTCGTCAGGGACTTCAACCCGGAGAGGCATATGGCAAAGGTCGAGAAGGTCAAAGTAGACTGGACCACGGAACAGCGAGACTTCACCGACATCGACCCGATCGAGACGGAGGCCATTAAACAAATTCCAAATTCTCGATCAAGGGCATTCCATGGAACCATCAAAATCACGCAGGTTGTCTTTGGATACTTCAAGGTCGACAGGAACAAGCGTATTCTTGACGCTGTCCACGTCAGTAATCCGCCAGTCATCCGATACAGCAAGGGCATGTGGCTCGATATACCAAAGCAGGCTTTGGAGATCCTGGTCGAGCGGCGACTTCACGTAGCAGGCGCCATTCATGCGGCCGAGCATGCCATCATGAGTCTTGTTCCGAATTTTGTCATCAGCATGCCGACCGACATACGCACGGAGTGTAAGAACAGCCTCAAGGAGTTCGCGCAAAAAGAAACTCAGCGGAAGCGACCCGCTCGGCTCACCTTCTACGATGCAAAGGGTGGTGCTGGCGGGTCAGGAATCAACACGAAAGCATTCGAGTTCATTGACTTACTCCTGATGCAGGCGCTCGAGCGCGTGGTCGGGTGTGGGTGTCTGTCGGGATGCCCGGAGTGTGTGGCATCAGAGTTCTGTAAAGAGGCGAATGAGGTCATGAGCAAGGCGGGAAGTGAGGTGATCCTGAAGAGTCTCCTGAACATTGAAATTGACGTGGATGCATTGCCGATGGGACCAGAGGAGTTCAGTCCCGCTGGCGTTGAGACGGTGGTCCTGGCGCAGCCTGTTCTACCGAGAGACAAGAGACTTCTTCAGGAGCTAGGTATCAAGCTGGAAGAAGATGAGGGCGAGGGAGTGCTTGCGAGTGTTCCGCGGGTGAATGTACGAGAAACATGAGCCACGGCAATGTCACGAATATAAGTATTGAATCTACGAGGTTTCTAGTGCAGAAGCCCTTACATTTTCCAATCTTACATGACAACCTGACCAAGCACAGCAAACTGCACATCAGTGTGCAACCAAGGTATCGGATTGAGAGTTACCGAATCTCCGTGTGAGCTTCTTTTATGGTTGCTCTCATTCAGAGAGTTGTCCTCAGTCGAGTTAGGGGATTTCTGGATGGCCCTTATGTACGGCTGACCAGACTGTCAGCCACGGTGGCTCCCAAGAAATGTGATGACACATGGCGCATGCTGGAAACGGATGTCAAGCTTTCGCCCAGGCGGATTGGCGATAGACAAGCAAAATGGCTGATGCTTGGGCTTGGAGCCAAGTCGTTGCCGTCACTTTTTAGTAGCGAAACGACGTGGCGGCAGCACCCGCGCGGGTCCACTCATTGTAGCACCAAAGCTACTAAAGGAGATGGACTTGATCAATAGCGAATTCTCAGTGATGCCTTATTTCCCAGCCGTATTTGATTTTGGAAAGCCGGCATTCCCGATTCAATAGAGTAGTAAGAAGGGTACCTAGGTATATTCTTCTCATAAGATACGAGGCCTGGATGAAATTGTGTGGGACTGAATGCCCCAGTGTGGCTGAACAGAGCAAATTAGTCGGTATCCGGGTACTGTCACCGATGAGTAAAGCAACCCCTGTCAATCTTTATGCTGCTTGACGTAGCGAAAAACATGCCGTCTGTCTTACGCTGTTAGTCTGAGTAGTTCATCCTTTTCGGTTCTTTAATTCACTACGGTTTACCGAGCGTGAATCAGGACCATCGCGACAGCCAAGCAATTCAGAACCCAGGCTTGTTCAGATCGCTCAGCTGAAAGGACGATTTCCCACAGCGGTGAACCCTGCTGCAACTCCGTCATCCACTGCATGCCGCAGTGGAGTTTCGCCGTAAGCCAGTGATCGACTTGCTCTTGGCGGCCTCTGACCACTTGAAACAAGCGCCAAGACCCCTTTCTATCCCTGGCCAGGGCCAGCTGGCGGCTTGGCGATGACCGCACAGTGCTACGGTGCGGTGCCAATAGTGTAGCGGGCAAAAGTCAAGCAAGCGAGCAAGTTGTGAGTGAGTGAGTGAAGTGATACGTGCGTTTGTCGCTTGCTGGTCTGGCTGGACTGGGGCTGGCTGGCTGGCTTTCTTTTCCCACGCACGCCTCTCAACTCATCTCATTGCAGTCATTCCGATTCCTCCTCCATCCGCCCATTCCCTTGCAGCAGCCTCTGTCTTCCTTGATTTGCACCATTGGTACTGGTGGCGTCAAAGCTCGTCTTGACCAACGGGGAGAGTAATATTAAAGACCTGCTGGCGGGCCACCTCCTCTGTCTCCATCGTCAGCTCTTTCCCTCATCTTCCCCGATCGTACCTTTACTTTTAATACCGTACTTTCCCTTCGTAGAGGCTCAGTGGAGGAGACGCTCAATTCCCAAAGTAGAAGGACCTCTCTACCCTTCGCCCAAAAACACTGATACCGCGAAGATGTCGAGAAGGTCACCACCGTCCTCGTCCCGTTCCAGGGACCACGGCCTTGTGTTGGCCGAGAAGACCAGCTCGCGGGAGCCAACTCTGCCCACGCACGTCAACAAGTATGCCGATGCGAACGGCAACTCGAAGCTTACACCACACATCAAGGCCGCCGGTGAGAGTGGCCGACGTGGCATCCATCCGCTTCACTTCTTCCGCATTGCCTTCCGCTCCTCCAGCCGCATCTCCATGGTCGTCAGCATCCTGTGGCCTGTCGTACCAGCCGCCATCGCAGTCAAATATGCCCGCCATGAGTGGCATATGGCCATCTTTGTCCTGGCTTACATCGCCATGGTACCCTGTGCCAATCTCGTTGGCTTCGCCGGCCAGGAGTTCGCCAGAAAAGTCCCCCACGTAGCTGGCGTCCTCGTAGAGACATGGTGAGAATAGTTTCCCGCGAGTGAATGTTACCTTCCAAAACTGACCCTCGTGTCTAGCTTCGGTTCGGTCGTCGAAATTGTTCTCTTCATGGTGCTTCTTAGCAGAGACCAGTTCCCTGTCATTCAGGCGGCTATTCTAGGTTCGATCCTCGCTACAATGCTCCTATGCCTAGGATTGTGCTTCTTCGCCGGAGGCATGAAACGTGACGAGTCTTCGTTTAGCGAGGTTGTTAGCGAAGCCGGCAACGGGCTCCTGCTCACAGCGTGAGTTATAGAGCTCCAATATGTATAGTCTATGCTCGACTTGCTAATATGTATCCACAGAGGGTTTGGCCTTGCCGTGCCAACTGTCTTCCGCTGGTCCCTCGCCGAGACTGAGAACGCCGAGAGCCTGACAAATAGCACAATGCAAGTCAGCCGTATTACCTCCATTCTATTGATCATCGCCTACTTCGTCTACATCTGGTTCCAGGCTCGCACCCACCACGGAATCTATGCTGCCATCTTCGAACACGACGAGGAGCGAGACAATGATAAGACTAGAGATATGCACAAGGATAAGCTTACCCTTACGGAGTGCGCTATTGCTCTAGCGATCTCCATCGCGCTCGTCACTATCCTGTAAGTTGGTCCCAACGGCATCTGGCGCATGTGTATTCTAACTTGCTGTGATATAGTGCAATTGCCCTGGTCGATGAGATCCCCTTTATTATTGAGCATGGTGTCTCGGATCCTTTTATGGGTCTTATTCTCGTGCCTCTTGTTGAGAAGGCTGCAGAGCATCTGACAGCCATTGACGAGGCCTGGGACAACCAAATGAATTTCGCCCTGTCACACGTTCTCGGCGCCACGCTGCAGACAGCCCTGTTTAACGCACCCCTTGTCGTTATTGTTGGTTGGGGCTTGCAAAAGGAGATGGGCTTGGACTTTGAGATTTTTAACATGGTCGTGCTGATCCTCGCCATCGTCACCGTCGGGCAGTTCCTGCGAGACGGCAAGAGCAACTATCTCGAGGGTTTCCTTTGCGTCATCGTCTACATTGCCATTGCTGTCGCCGCCTTCTACTATCCGAACCCACATGAGGAGGGATCCACAGCTGAGGGTGGCGGCGAGTCCAGTGGCTCTGAGGCTCACAGACTCATGATGTTTTAGTATCACTTCGACGTGAGATCGATTGTCTAGCTGCTCGGTGTCGGTTATGTTTTCTTTTGGTTCTTGGTCGGCACAGTACGCATAGCGAGCGAAACGGCAAAATGTATCACATTGTTTGGTAGAAAGGCAGGCGTTAATTCTTTGTGTATGTAACTCTAACTGGCCATACTTTTTGCCCTCGTAGCATGTTTCTCCAACAAACAATCCGCTTTCTCAGCCATTTCAACTATGCAACTCCCTCTGCCACGTGCAAGATGAGTTGCATCTAAGGTTAGAGTAGACCACACACGTACACCTCGTTTCGTCGTTGCATGCAATCAGAGTAGGAAACGCTGTGTCGTAAATGCATATATACATAGATGATCACGATTCAACAACTTAGAAGAACAATAGATCATCTTCTTTCCAGCCCAAGCTCGTCGTAAAGATCTCGCGAACACTCTTCTCCAAAGGCTCCGGCCCACATATCAGCACAAGGTCCTCACCCGTGCCTAGGGGCCGCCCAACCTCACGCTCGAACAAAGTGTGGTCCATCCTGCCCTTTAAGCCCGTCCAGGTTGCTGTCGGCCGGCTGAGTGTGTAGAGCATGCGGCACCTGTACTCGTTGCCGCGGACCATGGCGTCCAGCTCCGGCCGGCAGAGGATGTCCTCCTCGACGCGGTTGCCGTCCAGCACGAGGCAGAACGTTGGGTCATCCCGGTCCTTCATGACCGCCCGCAGCACCTGGAAGATGGGCGTGATGCCGCTGCCCGCGCAGACCATGACGAAGCGGCGCACGCGGCGCTCCCTGCCGGAGATGCTGCACCGGCCACGGCCCAGGTACTCGAACTTGCCGACGGGGCCCTTGAAGTCGACAAAGTGGCCGAGCGGGATGCCGTCGAGCGCCTGCGTCATGCGCCCGCCCTTGCGGTCCGGCGCGTCGTGGTAGATCTTGATCAGCACGTGCAGCACACCGCGCCCGGTGCCCTCGGAGATGGGCGTGTACGCCCGGATGATAGCTTCGCGCGTCACCGGGTCGCGGAGCCGCATCATGAGGTGCTGCCCGATCGGCAGGCCGACCGTCTGCGCTGCGTGGTCGAGCGTGAAGGTAAATATCTTGGTGTCGGCGGAGACCTTACGCTTCTCTGTGAGGATTGCCTTGGACCAAGTCTTGGCCTGCAGGAAGACCTCGCGTGGCTGGGTGTCCTCGACAATGACCTCGTCGTCTGCAAGTTGGGCTTTGGCCTTCTCATCGAGGCTGCCGATGTGATAGTCGGGCATCATGGCCTTGGCGTTCTCGCTATCTGTTAAGGGAAAGGTCAGCATCGCTTCGCAGACTCGTCATCATTATACCGGCGGGACTTACGGATGGTCATGAACTCTTCCGTTGCGTCCTGCCCAGCTGCCCCGATGATTGATGCCGCGCCTCCTGGGTGACCCTCCAAGAACTTTGTACCATCATATACCTCGCCGTTTACCACGAACCAGGGTTGTGTCTCTCCATCGTGCTTCTTCAGTTCTTCCACAGTTATATTTCTGTTCACGTCTTTGTTCACCATGCATATAGCTTGAGCTGGGTCTTCTTCCTCCATTGCTGGTGCCTCTTCGCCGGCTTGTTTCTCTCCCCAGTTACCGTTGCTGAGATTACCTCCTGCCTTCTTCACTCGCTCCATCCACCCGCCGGGCATCAAAGCGGGCTGTGTAGGGTGTTCGAATCGAAGGCTATGGCCCTCCTTATGAATGACAACTCTGTACCACGGGTTGTTCATCATTCCTAGTACACTCCAGTACATGTCCCTGGGCTGCACCATCATCGAGTCATCCATGCCCCTGACCATGATGTCGTCGGCTGTTTGTAGTTGTGTGATGGGGATGTCTAGGTCCCAGAAACACCAGCAGAAGCAGCTTTCCCTCCATGATACATCCAGCCTGCCCCCAAATAACATCTCGCCCTCCAATACCTCTCGGTATAGATCTTCTGGATATGATATGTTGGCCAGTGTCCAGGTCTTACCCTTGTCCAAGGTCACTTCCATCCTGGTCACCCTTTTACCGCCTCCGGCGTACGCATATCCTCGAAATTTGTAGCTTTCTGAAGCATTCGTGAGAGATAAACTCTCATTATGCGCCGGATAGACGGTGGCACTGTTGGTGTTGAGGTCGTAGATAGCGTACCGCTCATCCTTCCAGGTATCTGGCAAGTTTGCACTGGCCTCTGGCGAAACCATGGTTGGCAGCACGCGGTTGTCGTAGATGTGATACCAGTTGTCACTCGGCTTATTCGACACCGTGATTTTGGTGAGCCACTTCACACTTCGCCCGCCGATCTGGCCCGGTATGATGATCCTCAGGGGCTTGCCGTGGTCCGGTTCGAGCACATCACCGTTCATCTTATGTGCCACCAACACTCCCCGGTTCGGATCCATTGCCCAGTTCAGTTTTATCGACGTCCCGTAGTATCCGTTCGGCAACTTGTCCGCACCCTCAAAGCACACATATCTCGCACCACGCCTCGGGGCCGCCCTGTTGAGGAGATCGCACAGAGACACGCCTGTCCACAGCGCGGTCGACAGGCCCGCGGCGCCCCACGAGAACCCCTTTGTCTTCCGGACGACATTCTGCTCCTTGCGCCGATTGCCTGCGCAGACCAGCGTCACCGGATACGTGACCTGCTCGTAGTCCCTGAGGAGGTCTCTGAGCGTCATCTTGACCGGGTTCTCCACCATGCCCTCGATGGAGAACTCCCAGTCGAGGATCTCGGCGTCCTCCACACGGGGCACGGGGCCGTGGTTCCGGACGTAGTGAAGATCCTTGGTCGTCAGGAAGCCTTCGTCGTATAGCTCGGTGAGGGGCGCCTCGACGTTGAAGGGGTGGACGCCGGTCAGCCGGATGAGGCGCGGGTCTCTGGGTACATGGCTGTCGGGAGTCTTGAGGTCTTCTGACAGCACTTTCTGTTGCCTGGCCAGGGGCGGCAGGGGATATGTCCGTGGTCCATCTGTGGTGTAGTCGCCCATGTCGCCTGCGGGACCGGGGAAGTCCAAGTCCCCATCTGCGCTGGAGCTCTTTGACCCATTCACTGTTGCCGGGGGGCTTGGAGGTAATTGTAATGATTGCATAGAAGGTTGAGGCACGCTCAACGGCTGGGCTGTTGCGCCGGTGCCCTCCATGCTAGGGCTGTGCGGAGGCCAATGTACAGCGAGGTGAAGAAAAGGGGGCGAGGAAAGGGGTGGTCTACCTCGTAGACATGATAAGACATGCAGGACAATAGACTCGATCTGACTTGGGAGACAGACAGATGAAGGATCAGGTGGTGCAAAAGGCGCTTAGACTTGTAAGTGATACAAGCAGGATTGGGATTGTAAGGGCTTTTCACTGTATCAATAGGGAAAATTGACGAAGACAGCCAACTCCGGGGAGTGAAAAAGGAGAGGCAAATGGTAAGACGGAATGAAATGGGCCACGACTGGCGACCTACGATTTGCACGTATAATTATTCAACGGCACACGGCACCTCTGTGTGATCTGGGCGAGACTCTTGACGCCGAAAACACGGGAGCTTGGGGCATTGCGAGAGATCTCCGGCGCCCAAGGACAAGCCCAAAAAGCAGGGTGACAACATTGACAAACACGATGAGGTCGGCCGGAGATGCAACAGTCCCCACACGTCGAGAGAGCCATCTCCTCCGCGGATGTGCGCGGTTTCGTCATGTAAGTCGGGCCTGGGTTGTCTGGGCGCTGGCGACTTGTTCTTATCTCTCGCCGTCGACTTCTTTTGAAAATGGATTCTCGTGCTCGAATCACATTGGCTGATAAGGACGAGCTACTAGGGATGGGCGGAGATACGTCAATTTGCAGCTCTTAGACTCGATGGCGGACTCCATAAACGGCAAGGGTCCTCTTGAGCCCCAAGACGACGGCGGCAGAGCGGACTGATCCAGGGCCTAGAAGTCCAGCAGCTTGATGGCTACGAGCCTGCTTGAATGGTATGATAAGACAGCTATATACATATACTGCTGCTGCTGCTTTTCTCATCTGCTTCAATCTGAGTGCTGCGCCGTGCGATCTGCGAGATAAGAGTCTGTACACAACAGGGGATAATAAGAACCTTAGCACAGTACCGATGTAGAGAGCTGCGGGGCAATTATTGACGTCGTAAGGGCATTGCTGCAGCGCAGTGCAGTGCAGTGCCATGCGCAACCCATCGTGGTGATCAGAGAAGGTCGAGCTGCATCCATCCCGTGTATGACGACGGCACTGGCATGGCATGGCATGGGGGGAATGGATTGTGGTGGCCCATCTCGTTCTCGCTCCCCTACCGCCAAGAACGGCAACAGGGACTGTTTCTTCTTCTCAGATTCTGCGGGATTGTATTATTTGAACAATCCTTGGGTGCTCTCGATGTCGATAGCTTGGCTTGTAGCTTTCTGAGGCTGCTTGCTGAGAACAACTACTCAAGCCTGATTGATAGGCATGCCTTTCTTAGATGACTGACAAGACGTGACTAAAAAGTTGTTGCTCCTTGTTGCAGAGGCTCATTTGTTGCGCCAATCACCCAGATCTCAAGAATGATACGCAACTATCTTCACAAGCTCCAGATGGCTTGCTACTGGAGAGAAAACCTACAAGTTGAGAAGCACGGCATTCATTCTTGGGAAGTCAATTGAATTGACTCAAGAGTCATGTATTTAGGACGTGAATCGCAACAACTAGTAAGGTCCATATTTAAGAACTTTGGCAGTCCACACACCCTGGAAATGGAAAGACGCAAGAACTCCCTCCTCAACCCTCTTCTCGCATCAGGCCGAATTTGAGCTCGTTACGCACCGCAATGTGGTAGGGCCGTCTTGAGAGGCATCTCAAAGGAAAGCACTTACAGCGCTGCACCGTTGGGTTAAAAAAGACCCCGCCCCCACCTGATACCTACCCAAGTACCTTACCTTGGTAGGTAGGCTGCCCCATCCACTAATTTTGGAAGGTAAATCGCTGGAACGATAATCCGGGAAGGAACGCTAACACGCTGTAGGCCAACCAAACCGCTGGGTGACCAGGTAAATGATGCAGGCACTGCAGCCCACTGCAGCAGCGACTTGGGTTTCCCAGCAGAGCAACCTCGAGAACCCCCCGTGCGATCTCGTCGCAAACAGTAAGTGAGACAAGACGACCACCCCCGGCGCCTCGCTGACTTTTGAAGACGACTGATCTCCCGGCGACTCTATTCTCACCGGTTCTTTTTCGGCGACTCCTCCCCAAACCATCGATATCGATCTGCCCTCTCGGAGTGCCTACCCCGGCCTCTCGCTCAGAATCGCCTCACCGATGCCTACCCAGGTCGACCGAGACAGCCTCTTCCGATTCCTAGCTCAGGTCATCCCATAGCATCTGAGCCCTTGCAGATGTAGCAGTGCACACTTGACGGGCCATTTCTTTGCGCGCAAGACTATAATCATCTCCATCAACTATGGACCGACCAAGAAAGCGTATGGCCAACCCCCTCACCTCTTCTACGTTTGCATCTACGCCTACTCCGGATCTGACTAGACATCATAGGCGAGCTTCGTGCTCAGAATGAGCGCGCATGGGCTGGAGAAAAAGGCAAGCACCCTGGCCACTTCAGGTCTTCTGGAATTCCTTGCTTATCTTCATTTAGACCTATTCTCCGTAGGCAAGTCTCTTGACTCGTCCATGAAAAAGAACACAGCCTTTATAAAGCGATTGCGTACCGCCGTCACTGCCGCAACCCTCAACACCTTTGTCCAGGAGATCCGCACCCTCAGCCTCCACAAATACCTGTCCGAAATAATCTCTGCCTGCTACGAGGGTCTCTGCAAACTCAAGACACCCGGCGAGATCGAGGCTGGCGTCGAGATTGTTAGTGCCTTGCACCAGCGTTTCGGCCCCGAGGAGTTTACAGAGCATCTGGGCTGGCTGCTCGGCAAGGGATTAGCAACGCCGGATAAGGGCTTTCTCAAAACCCTAGCCCCTGAAGCCCGTGAGAAAGAAGAGAAAGATCGGCTTGTCAGGCAGAGAGTGTTATTACGTGTAGTCAGCGAGCTGTGGCTGGTGGGCGTCCTCCGAACGCTCGATGATGTGGTGCGCCCCGATGATGCCACCAAGGGAGCCGCCGGTAAGGTACCAGAGCTTAAACCTCGCCCCAGCACCAGCGGCAAAGGAGGAGGTGCTGAGCCGTTTCCGCTCGAGGTCTTAAAAGACCTGCTCGGTCATGATCGCGATCATGCCAACCTTCCGTTATTGGTCACCTTCGTGAAGGCTTTCAGCTGGGACATCCTGGGCGTAAAAGCTGCCGGATCCGAAGGTCGCAAAACTGTCGAGGAAGATGGTGCAACGAAGTCGGCCGATCCGGCCGATCGCGAGGAAGGGGAAGAAAATACCTCCGATGATCCTCCCTTCACCTCACCAGAGCTTCAAGAGCGGTTCCGAAACATCCTGAGACGCTATTTTGACGATGTCAAAAGCCACCTTGAGCGAGACCAAAAGGCTATCTTCTCACAATCCCGTAGAAATGCTGAGGCATATGTCAAATCCGGTGAAGTCTTCGAGGATCGCCAGGCAAACTTTGAGAAACAGGTCAAGTCACAGGAACGACTTGTAGCGAATGCCCAAGTCATCGCGGATGCTCTCGGTGCCGAGATGCCAGACCTGAAGAACAGTGAAGATTCCCTTGGATCAACAGGCGGCTCTATCGGCATAGTGAAAGCTGGAGAATATCTGCGTGGTCAAGGAGACGGCTCAGGCATATGGGAAGATGAGGAAGAGCGCCGCTTTTATGAGAATCTCGTTGATCTTAAGGGCAAGGTGCCTGGAATCCTCCTCGAAGACGTCAAGAAGAAGAAGCCGGATACCGACGAGCAAGTGGGCAAGAAAATCGAACCAAGTGAGAATACCGAAACCTCCAAGCCAACGGACACTTCTGCAGACGATCAGTCTACTGCTATTGCAAACAAAACTATCGGTGCTCAGGTTGATGCATTACTCTTGCGTCTCCCAGACCTAGCAACGAAGGATGCCATTGATCAGACAGCCATTGATTTCTGTTTTCTGAACTCAAAGGCGTCCAGAAATAGGTTGATCAAGGCATTGACAGACGTTCCCAAAGGTCGCAGCGATCTTCTACCATCTTGGGCAAGGCTAGTTGCGACACTTGGCCAATACATGCCTGATGTTCCGAAGGCGCTTGTGGAGTATCTCGATGCTGAGTTCCGCAGTCTTCAGCGCCGTAAAGAGAAGGACTTCCTCGGGCAAGTTCGGCTTAGCAATATTCGATACTTGGCCGAACTGACAAAATTTGGCATGGTCCCCGAGCACGTCGTTTTCCATTGTCTCAAAGTCAGCTTAGACGATTTTTCGCGGATGAATATCGAGATCATCTGCAATCTGCTCGAAAATTGCGGCCGATACCTTTTAAGGAATCCAGAGACCTCGCCCCGGATGGCATCGTTCTTAGAGACTCTTCAAAGAAAGAAGTCTGTGCAGCATATCGGCCAGGCTGAGAGAATGCTGATTGAGAACGCTGTGTACTACGTAGATCCACCAGAGCGACCTGCAATCCAGCAGAAGGAGCGTACACCGATGGAGCTCTTCATCCGGAAGCTGGTCTACGTAGATCTTACTAAGCGTAACTACAGCAAGATTCTGAAGCAAATACGACGGCTGCATTGGGAGGAGAAAGAGGTCAGTACACAAAATATTCTTGTTTGGTCATTCTAACTTTCATAGGTCGTTACTATCCTCGAGAAAGTGTTTTCCAAGCCTGGCAAAGTCAAATATGGCAATATTCATCTTCTAGCCATTCTCCTAAGTGCGTTGTACCGCTATCATGCGGACTTCGTGGTCACTGTCATCGACAATGTTGTCGAGTCCGTCGTTTTTGGTTTGGAGCTAAACGATTTCAAATATAACCAAAGAAGAATCGCTGAGGTGAAGTATCTGGGAGAACTCTATAATTATCGGATGCTCGAACACCCGGTGATATTCGATACGATGTACAAGATCATGACCCTCGGCCATGGTGGGCCTCCAGCACCTGGACGCGTCAACCCTCTTGACCTACCAGATGATTATTTCCGCATTCGACTCATCGCCACAATCCTCGAGACTTGTGGCATCTTCTTCAATCGTGGTGCTGCGGGGAAAAAACTGGATTATTTCCTCTCTTTCTTTCAGGTAAGCAGCCCGGAGCCTAGCAACCGGGAGGAAATGCTCACCTGAATTTAGTACTACATATTCACAAAAAATCCTCTACCAATGGACATTGAATTCATTGTCCAGGATATCTTTGCCCTCACTAGACCACAGTGGAAACTTGCTTCGAATTTTGATGAGGCAAGCAAGGCATTCCAGTTAGCTGTCGCTCAAGATCGGAAGACTTCTGGCTTAGACAAGGCCATTGATCAAGATGATGCCCCTAGTGAAGCCTCATCAGATGATGAGAATGCTGATGATCTGCCGGATCCTGACGGGGATGAAGAGTCAGGCTCGGAAGAGGAAGAAGAGGCCGAGGTACGCGCTCCTAAACTTACCAACAAGTCAGTGAACTATACCAACGATGATCTCGCGGGACAGGATATTGAGCAGCAAGCATCCTCCCGAGATTCCGAATCTGAGGATGAAGCTATTGTGGTGACAAGACAAGAAGAAGAAGTCGATCCCGAGGACGAGGCTGAATTTGAGCGTGAGTATGCAAAGATGATGGCTGAAAGCTTAGAATCACGAAAATTCGATCGCAAGCCCCTGTTCGATGTCCCCCTTCCAGTTCGGCCTAGAACTGCGCGCGAGACGACGAGCACCACAGAGCCAGGAGAGATGGAAGCCGGCCTGGCGCCGACCATGGCTTTCTCCCTGCTCACAAAGCGTGGCAATCGTCAACAGGTGAGCCGCCTTACTCACGGTCATATTGCCATTACTAATAGCGTACAGACTCGAACCTTGGAGTTGCCATCTGATTCTCATTTTGCAGTGGCAATGAAGAATCAGCAACAGGCTGAGTGGGAGGAGCAGCAGCGTATCAAGAATCTCGTGCTCAACTACGATCTTCGGGAAAACGAAGATCAAGATGGTGATAGTTTTTTGCCCCCCTTGACACCAAACACAAATATTCATGCAACCTCATCCTCAGGTCACGAAACCAAGCCCTCCACGTACCATCATAATCGAGCCGACAAGACTGGCAAAGAGCGCGGTGCACAACGCGTCCGCAAGCTCCAAGTGAGCGACCTTGACTGGTATGATAGACCTCGTTCAAGAAATAGTACTAGCGACTCCAGCCAAGCAGAATATCCAGAGCACTCCACGAAAAAACACGGAGAGGCTCAGGATATGCAGCCTCCAGTCAATGCGACAGATGAAAAATTGAACAAGCGTTTCATGCTTTCTTCTGATCGACCTCAGCAGGGCAAGGACTTTAGCGGAAAACGTCGCTAGGCAAACTCGTTCAGACGGATAGTGCTGACAAAGCCGGAACTCGGCGTGGTTACAGGACATGATCAGAGAGCCTCTGAATAGAGCTCATCAGGAAGCCGAACCTAAGAACTTTCTAATAAGATCTAGCGTGCCCCTGGTCCTTTCGGACAGAGTGCGACTAGGGCGCAATCTGTCTAGTTGGTCCAACTAATCAAGCCAGAACCCCTTCTCGAGAACATTCGAATATGGCACTTGAAGTCTTCAGGTTGAGTGGTGAGGCAGACAGCCCAGCCGTCACATGTTCACAATCTCGCACCTTACAGGCTCTGCAACCTGGGGTTGAGACAAGGTCAAGGAATGCAACACGTCCTGAAGAAGGAGGACGATGCTGCCATCATGCACGACGTGCTTGGCAGTGGGTAGTTACGATCTATCGCAGTGGAGGACCGACGATCCTACATATTAGGAGCGAGTAAACCGAGATGGACATCGGTGGCTGAAAGACCACCATGTACAAAGACGCAATTCAAGATTTGCTCGTCATTGCTTATTTTCGCCCTATGGAGCTGGGCGTAACACTTCTTGTAATTATCTCGCAATCGCCGGGCCGCCTGTGGTAGGGCCGACCGCTGCTATATATTGGGGCTTCCCCGGATGAAATCTCGTGCCGTGCCTGTCATGTCTTTCTCGCAGCCCACCACTTGGGCTATTTAGGCATCTCAAGAATTGTGGGAGTATCGTGTCGATCAGCTGGAACCATCGGCACCTCAAAAAGATGAATTGATCATGTCAGATTATGCCCCCGAAGAATCACCAGTGCCAGGTCGATATGTTCTCGATGGACAATTCTCCTCGACCCTTCTGCTCTGAACAGCCGACAAGAAGATCATGGCGAGATAGCAAAATTTAGATCGCAGAGATCACAGACCTCCGATGCCACCTTGTCCCTCTCGTGAAAGTTTTCCTTGGGAGGGTCACCATCTCCAGGTGGCAGGGAAGTTGATGAGGATGACGACGACTGCGGAGGAAAGTCTTCCAGTTATATGCTACACGGCCCATAAGAGAAGCTTTCTTGGAAGCAGACTTGATGGGTTCTCCAGCCACTGCAGGAAAGTACTACGGCAACCCCAAGACAGAAAGGCTCTCCAGTGCCCCGTCTGCCGTTCTAGCATAGTTGGTGTTACCAGCTCCCAGGTATACCCCATATTAGAGTGTTCTCTATTTGTGTCGCCATGTCCATCGAATTAGATGTCAGCTTGTGGGCTGGACTTTCTAGCTGATATTAGCCGGGCAACATTGATTGTTCAGTCGAGCCGCACGACACTTCTGCCGGCACCATCCTCCACAACCCCGAACATTCCCAGTACCCCCAACGACGGCGTTCTAGCGCGATCAAGTTTGGCGATCTGTCAATCAACGAAGTGGTTGGCTCGGTAGAAAGGCTTACCTGGGTCGAGGTGAGCTGTTCCTGGGGTACGTCTATAGTGCATATATGTTAGCCTCAGGGTCGGCACCATTACCCGTGGAGATGCAGCCTCATCCTACCCTACCAACTCGCACATGCTGGAAATCAGTAGTAGTGAGATAATGTTTCTCGCCTAGGAGGTTATACTGCCAACCTTGTATAGTCTCGCGAGACTTGAGCTACCTTAAGTGTGACTTACCCGGGATCGGCCACCCTAGATGTAATTTCCATTACCTGAATCTTTTTCTCATGCGACCTCTGTGTGCTGGCACTTTGCTATCTCTGCGTAGCTTCGTTCGGTACCGAGTGGCAGTGTGGATTGCTTGAGTCGACCGCATCTAGGCCAGAGTGTGCTGGTATTCATGCGTTGCGCGATACCCTGTTCAGACTCAGTCATCGTCAGGTCTACCGGAAACTAATCCCCTTTCGCTGTAATCTAGAAGGACTACCGAATGATCTTTCGTGGTTGCCGAGCAGGATTTCTCATTCTTTCCTACCAGAACTAGCCGTTCCTCCGCTCAGCCGTCCGCATCTGCGATACCTAGTACAGTTTTCGTTTGTTCATCGCATAGCAACTGCAGGATCTTCGCAACTCAAAGCATCAGTGTCAAATTCCCAGTGCTTTCCCACTACCTATGTTTCTGGACTTGATCACCTGCTTGTCTGGACTTGAGTAGAACGGCATCCCGGCGTAGAGCACGGATGAGGAAAACTTCACCTGGGTGACATCGGCTACGGGATATGCATCGACGTCGCCACACGGGCCTGGTATATTGCGATAATAAGTAGACGTACAAGACTTCTTCAAGTCTTTTGGTCTCTGACTTGAGCCTCGATCGTGGCTTCCTCCATCAACCTTGACATCAAAGGCTGGACCATCCGACTATGGAAGTTGCGTCAGTAGCTTTCGTCTGATGTGCACCGCGATCTTATCTAATCTGCAACTTCTTCGAATCATTCACTTATCCTCTTCTTAGGTAACGGAATTTGACCGTAAATAAGTCAACTTGTTGTGTACTTCCTTCACCGATTTGTGGAAGCAGCCAATTCGCCAAAACCTCAAGAAACGAGTTCTATTCATGAGGACAGCTTCAACGCATCCTCTGGGCATCAGTGTTACGCATGCCCTGAACAGAAATCGACAAGAAACCACACACCCACTTTTTGTCTCTTCACTCAGTCGTCGATCTGTGTTACCTCATAGGAGGCTGGCCAGCTGCGTCCATCTGCCAGGCTAAAACTCGAGGCCTCGACAAGATCGATGTCGATCTACTCAACCGCCTCGTACGAACTGTTACTATTTCTGCTTGGGTTTTAGCATAACTACTCTGGTTTATTGAACCGACTTGCTGAAGCATCATAATTCTTCGGTGTCTGGGTTCGCCAAAGGTGCTCTTACGGCTGATCTATCAATAAACATACTTCATCTGCAAGCAGCCGCTCACTGCCCTTCCATAACTGCACCAACCCGACACCACCGAGCCTAAATCCTGGCATCGGTACAGGCATTTATGACGCAAAGTCTCACCTAAATCCATTCGTGTTTTGGGAATATTCTCGGCGTCCCCGTCTATCTCCTTCCCCTCCCGACCACGAGTCGAGAGGTGATCTTATTCCATTGAACAATCTGGAAATATGTCGACCACAACGCAGGCATGGCCGGTCAATGAGGTGCGTATTTGTAGACTAACACATCAATCAGTCCATCGCTGATCGAAATCATCAAATTGTTACAGATCATTTACACTGCCATCGTTGGGCTTGTGATGCTAGCAGCGTTCCTGGAATGGTTTCTGTGGTTGGCAGCTTTCTTGTACTGCTTGTGGAAGGTGTTTAGGAAAGCAGAGCACTGGACCATCAATGTTCTCGCAGTGGTGGTGGGAGTTGCTTTCGTCCTGCTAAGGTACATCTCCTGAGAAATGTGTATCGTTGCTTACTGATTCCTCGAAAATAGATGTATCTTCTTGCCCATAATGATCGTGACTTTGCCGCTGCCAAGTCAAATCGTTAAGTACTGGCCAGAGCAGATGGTAAAGTTTCTCCAGTGGTTCGCTTTTTGGAGCTTTGCCGGGTTGTTGACGATACCGTGGCTATTCTGTGTCTATCAGCTTGTGACACATCAGCTTGGAAGGACGAAGAGAATCAAACAGGTGCTGGATGAAGTGTCAGCTCCGAAAGTCGTCATTGTTATGCCATGCTACAAGGAAGAGCCGGAAATCCTCATCACCGCTATCAACTCTGTTGTAGACTGCGACTACCCGCCTTCATGCATTCACGTCTTCTTGAGCTTCGATGGTGACCAAGAAGATGAGTTATATCTGAGCACCATCGAGAGCCTCGGCGTTCCCCTCACTCTGGAGTCATATCCTAAGAGTATTGATGTCTCATACAGGGCCGCCAGGGTGACAATCTCTCGCTTTCCTCATGGGGGAAAGAGACACTGTCAGAAGTCGACGTTCAAATTAATTGACAAGGTGTATCATCAGTATCTGAAGAGAAATGATAACCTATTTATTCTATTTATCGATTCGGACTGCATTCTGGACCGGGTCTGTCTGCAGAACTTTCTCTATGACATGGAATTTAGCCCGGGAAATAGAAGGGACATGCTGGCCATGACGGGCGTCATCACCTCTACCACTAAGAAGCACAGCCTCATCACGCTTCTACAAGACATGGAGTATATTCATGGGCAACTTTACGAGCGAACAGTGGAGTCTGGCTGCGGTGCGGTCACCTGCTTACCCGGAGCGTTGACGATGCTACGATTTTCCGCATTCAGGAGAATGGCCAAATACTACTTTGCGGACAAGGCAGAGCAGTGCGAGGATCTTTTCGACTTTGCCAAGAGTCATCTGGGAGAAGACAGGTGGCTGACCCATCTGTTCATGATTGGAGCGAAGAAGCGATATCAGATCCAGATGTGCACTTCAGCATTCTGCAAGACTGAAGCTGTCCAGACAATGAGATCCCTGATCAAGCAGCGGCGTCGCTGGTTCCTTGGGTTCATCACCAACGAGGTATGCATGTTGACTGATTGGCGCCTTTGGAAACGGTATCCCATTCTCGTCCTGGTCCGCTTCATGCAGAATACCATTCGCACGACGGCGCTGCTGTTTTTCATCATGGTTCTGGCCTTGCTCACGACCACGAAGAAGATCGCCGACTTGCCCGTTGGATTCATTGCTGTATCGCTGGGTCTAAATTGGCTCATGATGATATATTTCGGGGCGAAACTGCGACGGTTCAAGATCTGGCTATACCCGATGATGTTTGTCCTCAACCCCTTTTTCAACTGGTACTATATGGTGTATGGTATCTTCACGGCTGGCCAAAGAACATGGGGCGGTCCACGAGCCGATGCTGGTGCAGCTGACAAGACGACATCGGTGCAAGAGGCTATTGAGTACGCCGAGAAAACAGGCGACGATCTTAACATCGTCCCGGAAACATTCATACCCGCTACGATAGCACAAAAGGAGGAGAAAGCCAAATTGGAAGGCAAGGGCGGCGCAGTTTCCAGATCGAAGAGCAAGATCCAGCCTCCAGACAAGGTCGATGGTATTTTCGCCGCCCCAGAGCGTACAGCAAGCGGCTGGTACCAGTATCCGGCCGACTCTACCGCCAGCATCAGTGTCTTGGGGGCCTCGTCCATATTTGGCGACGGCAAGCCTCGAACTTTGCAGCACCGCGATTCGTTTGATAGCTTCATGTCTGCACAAACGACCGGCAACTCGGTGTATATTCCCCGCCGAGTGGAAAGCATCATGGGCGACGAGGACCGGCGCAAGTATGAACTCGCCCAGGCGAACCAGGTGACCCAGTTTATGGCCAACTCTCGACGCTTCCCGCCGCATGGGCACGTCTATGATGTCTCCGATGCTGATCTGAGAAGACCAGATGAGGCAGATGCTGGGGAGCCACTGGTCCACGGACACGTGCGCCCGCCGAACCGCCGGGTGGACAGCAACGACAGCACAGCAACGACAGCATCGTCACTGGACGGGCAATATCTGGCGTTACCTCATAGCATCCATGACAACACCCGCGCAGGGCGCAGTCCGCTTGGACGAGCCAGCCTAGTGCGATACTCGACGATGGATGAAGTCGAGCAACAGATTGACGAGTCGAGTGGTGGTTCCCGTGTTAGTAGTTCCGGCGATGGACAGAGCAGCAGGTTGCCACCACACGAGAAGAAAAATTAAGGAGAAACTTGGTTACATTTCGGAGCTCGGAAATTTGGCATTTTGAGGGGCGTTTCGGGAAACAAAACCATATGATAACTACATTAGGATGAGATCAGAAGAGAAGAAGGGACGTGTGTACTACTTTGTGTCTATTCCCTGCTCGGTGATATATGTGTTCCTATTATTCTGTTGTCGTGACCCATCATTTTGAGTCTTGTGTGTTCAGGGATATTCATTCCAAAGCCATGTAGTTCGAACAAGTGCACAACAGACAAGACAGCAGTCTGCCTTGCCGTTGTCAAAAGGCGACGGTCAGATTCTGCACCTACATACTGCAAGAGACGACACAACACAAATGTGAGTCGTGGCGGGGCAACTGGCGTAGAGCACAGGGTCTTTTGCGATTGCGATAAGAAACAGGATAAAGACTTGGTACCTGGTACATGTAGGTGGGGTGATAGGGCCGCACCAGGAGGTGGCCAGGGTGATAAGGCACCTTGGCCCTAGAAGCTGGCTTGGCTAGGCATTAGGTAACAGTGGGCTCTGCAAATGTAGCACGACTCTTGAAAAGAGTGAGTAGAGAAGAGACTTTAGTAATGCCAATAGACTGGTCAAAGGGGAGAATCTTAAACCTGGTTTCTGAATGGTAATAGCAGTGAATGTGTCCCGTGGAAAAGTTACTCACTGCCCTAGAATTACTCAGGTAGAGAAGGCGGTCAACGCGTACGCGCTATGAGAGGGATTAGAGTGGGCTTAAAATCAAGGCGATTCTGAATGGATCGAGAAAGTTCTGTAAACTTCTTTTCGCGAGTTGCCACGCCCGAGGTGTGCAGCTAGCGTCGATGTGAGGCTGCGGGCAGCGCCCCTCACCACCACCATCCGGGCCGGGTTGTGCACTGCTGTGCTCTTTGGGCGACTGGTTTTTTTCTCTCGTTCTGCCCTACCTACCTACCTTTACCTGACTCTTGACTGACCTTAGACCTCGACCGAATCTTCGACCGCTATTCTCTCCCCATACCTCGCAAAACACAAACATCGCCTTGTCACCGCACACTCTTCGACTACATATTGCCACGGACTGGACCAACATCCTCTCTGTGTTTTGTGTCCCTGCTGCGTGACCTAGACCGATCTCCTTGAGTTTGTGAGCAATCTCCCCCTCCATCCAAATCCCATCTGTCCCGCATTTGTTTACCAAGCAAGCAAATCCAGGCATCCTCCAGTACCGCCATCATGAGTGTTGTAGGTGAGTAAAAAGAGTCTGCACCCTCTCGAGCTGCTCTATCGTTGCTGACAGTCTTCTCCTCTTGCAGGTGTCGATTTCGGTACCCTCAACACGGTTATTGCCGTCGCAAGAAATCGAGGTGTCGATGTTGTATGTGCCCCTCAATCCTACTACGCTCGATACATCTGTTTCCCCAGCCCAGCCCACCCTAGGTGAACTGATACTGATATTACATCGCAATAGATCTCAAATGAGGTTTCCAACCGAGCAACACCGTAAGTTAGATTCTCGCCACTGCCTGTTCGCTGACCTGCATTGCGCAGACTTGCTGACTCGAGTTCTACAGCTCTCTGGTTGGCTTCGGCCCAAAGTCTCGATACCTCGGCGAGGCTGCCAAGACACAGGAAATCTCCAACCTTAAGAACACCGTTAGCTCCCTAAAGCGTCTCGCCGGCCGTACATTCAGCGATCCCGATGTCCAGATTGAGCAGCAGTTCGTGTCGGCGCCGCTGGTCGACGTCAACGGCCAGGTCGGCGCTGAGGTCTCATACTTGGGCAAGAAGGAGAAGTTCTCGGCCACCCAGCTCGTCGCCATGTACTTGAGCAAGATCAAGCAGACCACCCAGAACGAGATCAAGCTCCCCGTTTCAGACATTGTCATGAGCGTCCCCGCCTGGTTCACCGATGTCCAGCGCCGCAGCCTGATCGATGCCGCCGAGATCGCCGGCCTTAAGCTCCTCCGCCTCATGAACGATACCACCGCTTCGGCTCTGGGCTACGGTATCACCAAGCTCGACCTGCCTTCCGGTGACGAGAAGCCTCGCCGTGTTGCCTTCATCGATGTTGGTCACAGCAACTACACCTGCTCGATTGTCGAGTTCAAGAAGGGCGAGTTGGCCGTCAAGTCTACTGCTTTCGACCGACACTTTGGTGGCCGAAACTTCGACAAGGCCCTGGTCGACCATCTGCAGAAGGAGTTCATCGGCAAATACAAGATCGATATCTTCTCAAACCCCAGAGCTGTGGCCCGAACACTGGCCGCCGCCGAGAAGCTGAAGAAAATCCTATCCGCCAACCAACAGGCTCCTCTCAACATCGAATCTCTCATGAACGACATCGATGTGCGAGCTATGATCACCCGCCAGGAGTTCGAGGCCTTGGTTGAGCCGCTACTCGTCCGCGCCACTGTCCCTCTCGAGCAGGCTCTCGCCGATGCGAAGTTGACCAAGGACGATATCGATGTCATCGAGGTCGTTGGCGGTGGCTCGCGTGTGCCCGCCGTCAAGGAGCGTATCCAGGCTTTCTTCGGCAAGCCTTTGTCGTTCACGCTGAACCAGGATGAGGCTATTGCCCGCGGTTGTGCCTTCAGCTGTGCTATCCTGTCTCCCGTCTTCAAGGTCCGAGATTTCGCCGTTCAGGACATCGTCACCTACCCGATCGAGTTCGCGTGGGAGAAGGCCCCTGATATTCCGGACGAGGACACGAGCCTGGTTGTCTTTAATAAGGGCAACGTTCTCCCCTCCACCAAGATCCTCACTTTCTACCGCAAACAGCCTTTTGATCTCGAGGCTCGCTACGTCAAGCCCGAAGACCTCCCTGGCAAGATCTCACCGTGGATTGGCCGCTTCTCCGTGAAGGGTGTCAAGGCTGGTGGCGGTCAGGAAGACTTCATGATCTGCAAGCTGAAGGCCAGGGTTAATATCCACGGTGTTCTGAATGTAGAGAGCGGCTACTATGTTGAGGACCAAGAGGTTGAGGAGCCTGTCGAGGAGGAGAAGAAGGAGGGCGACAAGAAGGACCCCGATGTGAGTACATTCGCTTCTAGCTATCGCGATCCGCATTCCACTTTTCAGAATAAGGCGTCGTCGTCATCTGCATCTGTTGGAGAAGACCAGCCGTCCCCTTTCAAACGTCCGCGTATCGACGAGCAAAGCCTCCGCGACGCTACCAGTCCTCCCTTGCCCCCTCTGCGACCTGATAATACAATACTGACAAGTGACACGAAGGCAATGGACACGGACGCGAACAAGGAGGAGAAGCCTAAGACACGCAAGGTTAAGAAGCAGGTGCGCAAGGGCGAGCTCCCCATCGTGAGCGGCACACACTCCCTGGACGAGTCGGCGAAGAACGCTGCCACCGAGAAGGAAGCCGCCATGGTCATGGAGGACAAGCTGGTCGCCGACACCGAGGAGAAGAAGAACGAGCTCGAGACCTACATCTACGAGCTGCGCAACAAGCTGGACGACCAATATGCCGAGTTCGCCAGCGACGAGGAGAAGGAGAAGATCCGCGCGAAGCTGGATGCGTCAGAGGTAAGTCAAAGCGGACAAATCGATCACCAATCCAGTACTGGTCCATTGCTAACTTTCGATTAGGACTGGCTCTACGATGAGGGTGACGATGCCACCAAGGCCGTCTACATCGCCAAGATGGACGAGATCCGCGCTCTCGCCGGCCCCGTCGTCCAGCGTCACTTCGAGAAGGTCGAGGCTGAGCGACAAGCCATTCAGGCCAAGATCGATGCCGAAAAGGCCGCCAAGAAGGCTGCCGAAGAGGAGGCCCGGAAGGCTGCTGAGGCCGAGAAGGCCGCAAAGGCCGCTCAGGAGGCGCCGAAGGACGAGGAGATGACCGACGCGGACGCGGCCCCCAAGGCTGAGGTTGAGGAGGTTGAGTAGACTGTCGACTTCTCCATGCCAGGGATGCACATGTCCGCCCATGGCGTCGGATCATGAGAGGTAGACTCACAAGTGTAGAGTCGTTGGTTTTTTCATAGAATGGATGGCGAGACCGTAAAAAAAAAGAAGAGAATCACACCAACCGGCTGCTTTCCTCTTTTGGCGGCTCGACAATGAGAGCACAGTCTATATTGTGTGTTGGAGTCAATTGGATGGCCCTGTTAACCGAAAGCATTTTTGTTCACGAGGTGCTGCTACGCATAGTTGTTGCCTTGTGGATATCTCAAGATAGATCAGGGGAAATGTTTTACGCTTTTCTTTTCCATTGTGGAAACCGTCTAACTAGATAGAAACGGCGAAATGAGAAAGTTCATGACACGGATTCCATCGAGCTTTGGATGTTGATGTTCTGATTGTCATGTGTAATGCTTTTTATTATTACCAACTCCAACTTTGACATGTTTTGAGCCAACAAGTTTTCCCATTCTTTTTTGTCTGGCCTACGTTATGCCCCAGCAACTGCTGATCCTGAGAGGGGTTGAGGTTGAAAATGCGACGGAGATGTTTTTTGTAGTAGAAAAGGAGACACGGTTCATCCATCAATCATGAAATACACTTCTAAACCTCGCACCTGGGCGCGCATATGGCACGGCTGGTCGCAAATACATCCCAAAACATAATACAGTGAAGGTATAGACAGCCATCATACTAGCCCCCTTTTTTTGATAAACTAAGCAAGTAGAGTGGCTTGATTAGACGATGTCGAACAGGGGCTTGAGCTTGACGATAAGCGCCCACTCGTCATTGCTGACGTCCTTCCTGTAGAATTGCTTGAGCGTGTCGATGCTCTTGCGCGAGATCAAGCTGTAGAGCGTGTCACCTTCCTCCAGTTGTCGGCCGTAGACAGGTTGGTGGCCGCCCATTTCAACCTTGATGGCAACGGACGGCTGGCCCTTCTTGCAAATTGTGATCTGCTTGTGATCACGCTCGATTGAAGTCCTGGTTTCAAAGGTTAGTGTCTGCGAATTTAGGGAAATGTTTGAATGAAGGGCAAACTTACACTCTGCCGAGGCTGACAATTTCCTTCACACCGGTTGTCGGGTTCTGCTTGACGGCAGCGAGCGGGGTGTTAATTCTAAGATTTCCTTCGATAACGTCAACACCAACGACAATGGGGCCAGTCTTGTTGAAGACGGCCACTGGGCTGAGAACGCAAGGGAAGACAGCCAACATCTTAGACTCTTCCTTCTTCTTCTCGTTCTGCTCCTCAATGTGCTTAGTAAACGCATCAAAAAGATGATAAATGATGTCGGCGGTGAAAATCTTGATGCCCTGCTCTTCTGCGTATGCCTGCGCCTCTTTGTCTACCTTGACATCGAAACATAGCATGACAGCATAGTCAGGTGCCTTTTCCAGCATGATACCGCACTGCATGACATCACGCTTATACACCGGGCCGATACCGACATTGGCGACGGGAATCTTGCAGTCCTTGAGAAAGTCCAGCAAGGCTTCGAGAGAACCCAGAGTAGAAGCTTGGACGCTGACGCCACGGCCAGACTTCTCGACTCGGCTGAACAGTGTGGCGAGATCTGCCTCAACTTCCTCCTCAAGGTCTTCCTCGTCATCGTCAGGGCCTACGACCAACAGGCGAGAGCCGGCAATGGCGCCTTCTAGGCCTGGAGCACTAATCTTGACACCGAGGGCTGCCTTGACCTCCTTGTTGTGCACGTATGCTGACTTGAGACGAAGCTCTCTGAGAGGAGCAGGTGTTAGGAGAGCACGGATATTCGTCTTGATGACGCCTTCAGTACCACACAGTACAATACGGTCGCCTTCTCTTAGAATACCGTTCGATAGAATGACATCGATCGTCATACCGAAACCCTCGATAGCCTTGACTTCAAGGACAGTGGCCTGGACCTCTGAGAGGTACATGAGAGATCCAACCATCCTCTCTTGCGTCAGCTGGAGAATCAGCTTCAGCATGTCAGGGATACCCTCGCCGGTGTGAGCTGATGTGGGAACAAGGGACACATATTTTGCCATCGACTTGTTCTCGTAAAAGAGCTCTGCGTTGAAGCCCTGTTCTGCGAAGGCGACCTTGGTCTGCTCCAGACGGTTCTTGAACTCGTTTTGCACTCCCCTATTCTGAAGAGCCAAACTCTCCTGGAAACCATTGTTGTCAACCTTCTTCCAGCCATAGAGACGATCGATCTTGTTGAGAGCCACAATGAAAGGCGTCCGCCTATCACGCAGCAGCTTCATCGATTCGAGTGTTTGGGGTTCTAGACCGTGCATAATATCGACGACCAGGATGGCAATGTTACAGAGGGAGGAACCTCGGGACCGTAGGTTAGAGAAAGACTCGTGACCGGGGGTATCGATGATAAGGAGACCGGGAACTTTGAACTCGAAGGCGCCGTCTCGGTTGACGACAGCTGTCTTCTGCCTAATAGCTTCGACGGGGAAGTAAGTAGCACCAATTTGTTGTGTGATACCACCAGCTTCGCCTTCTTGGACGTTTGTCTGTCGAATCTTGTCGAGCAGCTTCGTCTTTCCTGTGTCGACGTGACCGAGAATACAGCAGATTGGTGAGCGCAAGTTGTCCTTGGATCGGGCAGCCAATGCGGCTTGATGTGCTTTCTCGCGCCTCTCTGCTGCCTCCTTTTTCCTTTGCGCCGCCAGAGACTCGTCCTCCGAGGACTCTTCATCGGAAGATTCCTCCTCTTCCTCATCTTCATCCTCATCCTCATCTGTTGGCTTAGGTCTTGATGGTAATGATTGCTGGTCTTCAGCCTTGGAGGCATCCTTTGCAGCTGCCTTCTTCTCGGCCTCCTCATCACTATCGGCATCCCAGCTATCTTTGACGTCGTCCTCGTCAGCGGCTGCTGCCTCCCAATCCTCGTCTACATCACTGCTCTCTGTAGCCTTCTTCGCAGCGGCCTCGGCCTCGGCCTTCTCCTTTTCTAGTCGCTCTTTCTCAGCTGCCTCCTTGGCAGCAGCCTCAGCTTGTAGCCTGGCACGCTCGGCGGCCTCAGCAAGTGCCTTTTCTTCATCGACCTGAAGAAAGATTAGCATAGAACGGGAAACTTTGCACGTGGATCACAACCATACCTTCTTGTCATTCTTCTTGCCAGCCTTCTTCTTGTCGTAGACGGGCTTCTTCTTCTCGCCCTCAGCTCCCTCTGCCGGTCCGACCTTGATGCCAGCGGCAATCATTTGCTGGAGCTTTCGCTCATTACGGGCCTTCTCCTCTTTCTGTGCCTTGGTGAGGAACTTGCCCTCCTTCTTGAGCTGCTCGATCCTCTCCTTTTCTTTCTGCTTCTTCCTGGCCTTTTCTTCCTCCTTTCGCTTAGCCTCCTCGGCTTCTCTCTTCTCCTCTTCTTCTATCCTCGCCTTCTCCTCAGCGGCGAATCGCTCCTGTTCTTCTCGGGCACGGCGTAGCTCCTCTTGTTGCTTCTGCAGGGCAGCGAGGTGTGGCGGAAGCTTTTTCTTCTTGCCTCCAGCGGCCTCCGTTGGTGGAGGAGACGGGGCTGCTTCGGCAACGGGCGCTGCCGCCTTCTTCTCTGCTGGCTTTGCCGGCTCTGGCTTAGCTGGACCGGTGCCCTTCTTCTTTGCCGCCTATAGCAGATTGCAATGTTAGTAAGGATCGAGATAGAGAGGGAAATATTAAACTCACCTGCTCCTTCTTTCTTTGCTTCTCCCTTTCCTTCTTGAGCTTCTCTTTTTCGGCCTTCGTTAACATCCTGCCGCCCTCACCAGTCTCATCGTCATCAGCGCCAGCATCCTGCTTTTGCTGCTGCTGCTGTTGCTTGCCGCCCTTGCCCTTCTTCTCCGGGAGCGCAAACTCGTCGTCCATGGTGGCCTCCTCGGGCGCCTTTGCGTACAGCGGGGGCTCGGTCGACTCGGGCTCGGCGCCAGGGGCGGTCTCGCCCTCGACAAAGTCCTCGGACAGGCCCTGCTTCTTCCGCTTCTCCTTCTTCTTGCGCATCAGGTTCATCAGGCCGCCGCCGCCTGCGGACTCGTCGTCGCCATTCGCATCGCCGTTGGCGGCCGCGTCTGGCGAGGCAGCGGCCGGGGCGATGCTCTCGCCCAGCTCGGCCTCCCAGTCGTCGTTGCCGCCCTTCTTGCCCTTCTTCCCTTTGGGTGCCATGGTAGGCGACTGGATATCTGTAGAAGGAACCTTGAAGGACGAATATAGAGCTGTTTCCTCGGACTAGATCTCCTTGAACAAAAGATATCCGGAACCGTGAAAGGTTTCTGTGGTGGGATTGTTTTGTCAGAAACGCCCGGGTGCAGGCGCCAAAAAGCAGGTTGAGGGAGGGGCACACAGAATGATGTTGGCGTGCAGGGCAAAATGTGGGGGTTTTTGTGGGCGGCGGGACAAGGCAGCCGGGCAGAGAGTCGAGACTCGCCTCACCAGCTTGACTTATATGTGCACCTCAATATACGAAGTCGTGGCTTTCTTTTTGGATTTTCAAGGAGACCTTTCAATCTCCCTTCTTTTTTGAGGTGATAGAACCCAGGCATGCTAGGGAAAACCAGCAGTCTCTTTCAGTTCTACAGCTTCAAGTTGTGGTTGTAAGCCAGATGGGCGGCAACGCTTGCACTGCGGGGCAGTGTTTGTTAGCGGAATGGCGATAATCTTTTTTTTGTGCGCGGTGTCTAGGTGTGTGCTTGTGACTGGCTCCGCTGATATCACCGGCGATAAGGCTTACAGATATCTACCTACTTATACACATTCAACATCCCAAGGCAAGGTAGACAACTAAGATGGCAAGCTATTTGATGCAGTTGAAGAGTCAGAGCTATCCAGATGTTTCTCAATGAGTCACAATCCCAATATCATGGGACCAATCATCCCAAAGAGTCGCTGGCGTCTTGTCTATGATACTATGCTTCCGTCCGCCTGGTGTAGGGTAGCCAGTCCAAACAGCCTACCCGTTACTGTCCTAGTGCTCTTTACCTGTAATCTCATTCTTGTGCCTGTAATCAACCAATCCTCCCCTCAAACTCGCTACCTATGGATGGGGAACAATGCTAAATGTAAGAATCATCTCGCCTCCCTGTAAACGCTCAATGCTATCTTCGAAAAGACAAGGGTAAACGCCTACAATGCCTATACAGAAACATGAAACTCAAAGCACAGGTGCCAGGAAATAATCCAGGATGTCATACCCGAGCTCAAGATACTGCTCTTTCATCTCCCCGGGCTCTCCCTCAAAGTCTGCTGTACACCTGCCATCGTCAATCTCGTCAATGAGCTCAATGTATCTGCTGATATGACTGGGCTTGTTCAGAAGCTGCTCCAAGGCACGCTTGGCCGAGATCCTCTGTAGTAGGTCTCCGTTGACATGCATCTCCAAGTCTCTCGTGACTCTCGGCTCGGGGTCAAAATCATCATCCGCCCCTGTGTTGTGTTGATACAGGCTGAAGAGAGGCGACTCGCACGCAATGTTCTGGATGAACCGGAGAAGCCGCCAGACTTCCATGTTCAGCAGCGCAAAGTGCTGTAGAGAGCCATCGATGCCCATCCCAAAAATCTCGGCGCCATCGATCGTGCTAGGTATCAGTCCAAACTGAGGACGTCGTTGGGCCTGCAGCCAGCCTGGTGCCGTTCGTCCTCGGCGGAATTTGCGGATGGATGCTGGTAAGTCCGCTTCGAACAACACCTCGCAGTCTCTGTTGGGCTGCCTCCACGGCACCCAGAGGCCCGCAATGCCACAGTAGATATCGCATAAAAGCACGACAGATGACTCTGGTGTGCCTTCCACATCTCCGGCGATCTCCATCATATGCAATGCCCGCCGGCTCACCGGGTCAGAGTGCGATAGTTGCATCTGGCCTGAAGTTTGGTCAGTGCCGAAATCGATGATCTCCAAGGAGTCTTTCGTTGTCAACGCCAAGATCTTGCCGTTTACAACTCGAAGGGATGTGGCAGGTGAGCTGAGCTCGTACTGCTTCATCGGCTTGAGCTTCTTCTCTACGTCGTCCAGTATCTCCCAGTATATGGTCGTGCCGGCGCAAAACAGCAACCCATCAGCGTGCCCAAGGACGGAATAGATTGGTCGATCGTAGTCTTTCTTCTTGTACCGGGTCCAGTAACGTACCATACCCCTTTCTGATCCTTGTGGCTCTTCTCTCTCTGTCGAAACGACGAGTAATCGCCCTTCGTGAGTTGACACGAGGATGAAGCGCCAAGTCCTATTTTCCTTTTTGTATTCCCATTCGGCTAGCCCATGGATTCGATCCCCATGGTTGCCCAGCCCTGAGATGTAGTCGACGATTTGTCCATCTTTTTTGCTTGGCTTAGAGAGATCCTTCCCAGTATCAGGGTCTACAAACTTTAAAGTGGGCTGGTCGTCCACTTTGACAGCAACGATGAGGCATTCAAGGGCATGTGAATAAATCATTTTCAAGGGTGTGCCGCCAACTGGCAAGTGTCTTGGTATTGCCCTCGCCTCTGATTGCAATTCTGCGAAGAGGATATGAGTGTCGGAGAGTAATAGTAATGAGAGACTTTCTCCGTCTTCAGAAAGACTCTCATCAAGCACTGTGACTGAAGTGATGGGCCCCGATGATTTGCTTGGATCATTGGCGTCAACGACAAGTACAGTGTGCTTCGTTTTGAATAATTTTCTTTTTCTGTCGTAATTCGTCATGTGGAGAAGTGTCGAATTACAGCAGATCAAGACTGTGGCATTGTCTGCTCTCGAAACAGTGGCGGCCGTGACACCGAATTTCTCCGTGTGCAAGTAGTTTTCATGGTCCTGATCACTTAATGTAAGGGTAATTACCTCGCCACTTCGAGTTCCAGCGACAATGATGCTCAGCCCAGAAGTCTCCTCCATAGTGACAACGCTTGTAAGAGCTTCCACCGAAAAGATATTGCCTCGTGCTTCTTGCGAAGTAGGAGATTCTGCCGCAGCTGAAGCGACTACGTTAGAAGACAATCCCTGTGGATACACGGATAACTGACCTCGATCCATCTTGATCGTCCGCAATGTTCCGGGCGCGTCTCCATCACAAGAGTAGGATGCCAGCCATGGAGACTCATGAAGCCAAAGACCTACAAGAGCATATCGATCGCCATGTATTTGGGAAAGCGTCAGGCAAGTGGCTTCTCCTTCAAGGGGAAAAGTTCTGAGCAGAACCACACGCAGATCCTGAATCTCGAGGAGATTCAGGTGAAATTGTGTATCAGTATGGGTCGTGAGCGCGATGAGATTTTCACGAATCGAAGCGTCTACAGGAGTAGCGTTGTCCAAACTTAGGATTTCGTTGTAGGTGTGGCGGGCGCTAGGAATTGTTAACCCTACAACAGCTTCTGCAAATGAATGATCGCAGGTTTGAGAATGGGCATCATAAAAATTGACTTACTTCTGGCTTGGCGTGACAATAATAATTCCCCTTTCAGTGATCTGCACGATCATGGAAGCGGATATCCTGACGGCTACCAACGTCCGAGACGAAAAGTCGTATGCCGCTGTTTCCGGCTCTAATTCATCTACCTCGGAGAATCTTCCGTCGAGGCTCAAAGCTGAAGTCCTGTCAGGCATTGATAGAAGCACATGATAGCCACAATCTTCGGCTACTAGGTCAGCCGGAAGCAGCCATCCACGTCTCACTGGCATCCCGTATTCAAGGTCGAGCCCGATGTCAGCTTGTAGGCCGTATCGATACTCCGCAACAGTGCCCTTCAAGCCTCTTCCTGTCGTTGCAAATATTCTGTCAGGGTTCCCGAATGTGTCTCGGCGTCTATCTCGCCATGGAGTCATGGGTGTGCCTTTTGAGCTTTCTTCTTGGTTCCATGTCCGAAATTCGTCTGTAGTAACAAAGTCAACGGTGGGAGACCAGTTGGGAATCGTCCCGAGTGCAGTCGGTAGTACTCTTGGAGATGCCTATCACATGTTAGCAGTAATCTTTCAGATATGGAAACGATAGTGTTTCGATCTTACCTGCCAGATTGTTCCTGGCCCTGAGTCGCCGCCAAGGATGAGTATATCAGCATACGCATTCAATAAGCTAGCGAAGGTGCCGGACACATTGCAGCCAAGATTTCCCATTGGAAAGCTTGCCTCAAGAATATTTTCTCGTCCAATCTCTAGAAATATAACGTTTCCATCCTCCCTTGCCAAGTATATCGCATCCCTGCTGCTTGCGTATTCGGGGATACGATCTGGACGCGTCCAGGCAGTCCAGAGAGGTAAATCTAAACCATGATGAAGATCGGATGGGGGAGCATTCTCGATGACGACGCCTTCAAAAGCTGGTGGCCCTTCTAACACATCTTTACAGATCGCGATGAAGCCCGGCGAGACCGTAAAGAAGGCTGTGCGGACTGTGAGGGGTATGATGAGTAGTGGCATCTGATGTTCTGGAGGTAGTCGATGCCCGTTTTTTTCCTCGGCCAAAACCCGCTTCAAGTCTTCTCCCAGCTCCCATTCGTAAGTGACGAGCCTAGTCCTTCCGTTCTTGACGACCAGAAGCAACAGGATGACATGGTTAGGATCCGCTGGTCTCGGATAGAGAAACTCCATCTTGTGGATCACACCATTCACAGTACGAGGGCGGTACGACATGACAGGGTCCAGGGGCTGATTCCGTGCATAGCGATCGCTAAGCGTCTTGACCGACTCCAGTTCGTACACCATAAATATATCACTTGCGCAAGCAAGCGCTATGTAACGCGAGCTGGGGTCCACCGCAAGATGGAATCCTGGCAGGACTTGCGTTCGTAATGGGCTTGGGAAGATGGAGGTGACAAATTCGAGGTCCCCTTGCGGATTCGATCGGAGGAAGAGGAATACGCTTTCGCCAGACTCCAAGACTAGCAACAGAAGCTGTGGAGGAAGGCGGCCTCCCTTTGTAGGCGATTTTGAAGGCGAGGAGCCGAGAAGGCCCATGTCAATGTCCTCCTCTTCCGATTTGACAAAGACTGCTGCATTAAAGGAGCCGATGACTTTCGCATTCTGTATCCGGGACCCAAAGTCATTCTTTCTGATGACACTCCGGAGATGGCCGTTCTTCTGGAGCTCATATATTTGAACATATTGATCCTTTACAGAGATAAGCTGTCAGTATTCTTGCGTATCTAGCCATACAAGGCGATACTATCCCCCCTGGACCATGCCTTCGAAATAACGACTTTTTTTCCCACGGGCAGGGGAAGAGGAGTTAAGAAATTATTGCGAGACGGGGCTCAATATCAAAGACCAAGCTCCAGAACAGATCAGGGGGAAAGGACTCACACCAACAAATGCGACATCATTAACTTGAGGCGACCTGAGCCGTACAGGGAGAATCCAGTGAGCCACGGGGCTCTCTATTATGGTCCTGGTCAAAATGCCACATTGAGGTGGCTTAGGGACGCGCTTCTTCGGTGGTTTAGGGGCAGTGTTGCCCTTCAGGACGGATTGCAGGTCTATGGTCTCGGTGACCCAGGTACCGTCGCGCAGAACATTAGTTTGGAAAGCCATGCTGGGTGACCATAGTGGTTTTTAAACTGCATATATTGGCGATGATAGAGTGAGAGGTCGTGACAGCCTTGCCAGTTACCTGTATGCTGGTGTCTGGGAATGGAAACAGTCTTGTCGGGTTCGGTTCGTTCTTTAGCGTAAGTATTGTCAAGGCAAGTATTGGATTTACTTGAAGAGACTGAGCAGTGGACGTAAATGTTCAGGAGTGACGACTGCAGGTGAAGAACCTCAGACAAGAAAGGATAGCCACAATGGGCCCTGAGTAACAGGCTGTGTTGGCAGTGTAGAATGAGAGAAAGAAGGGGTTATGGAAGGAGGCGAAAGTCTCTTGTGCGGTCACTGGTACACATCTTTGGTCCTGGCTTGCAGAAGAGGTTCTCGAAAAGAGCGGAACTTAAAAGGGCCAGGGCAGGCGGGCACCACGAGGACCTCATGCGCAGGCTGCTTGAACCGGGGCTGCGTTAGCAGTAATAAGCTTAAGGCCAGCGCCGGGATTGACAACAACAGTCAGTCAGGTGCAGAGAGCTCCCATGCAGCCAGGATGAGCATGCGTCTGCGAGTGTATGCGCGAGCGACGGCAGTAAGTGTGTATTGGTGGTAGTGGTGGTGGTGGTGGTGGGCAAGCACCAGTATTGCGGTGTTGTCCGGTGTGGTCTGCCTGCTGCTGGTTCCGGCGATGGGTAAAGGTTGTTGGCTCAGGTAGGTTGTCTTGCCTTGTGCCAGCCGGCCGTGACTAAATCAGGTACAGCACAAGGTCGGTATACCTTATGAATGTATTATTATGATTATCGTTGTTGTGTGTTGTATTTGTTGTGCTTTGCCATATGAAAAGTAAATGCAGGTAGAATAGGTAGAGAGCAGATATGTCAACTTTGTGCTGGGACTGGAGCTGCACTTTTCCGGAAGGATCAGATGGATATACAACAGCAGCAGCAGCAGCAGCACGTACTTAGCATCTCTCTGCGCCAGCAGGATGAGATGTGCAGATAAGACCGAACCGGCTCGCCTTGGCTCTATTCCTGCTGTTGCTGCTGCTTCCGCCGTGCAAAGTCGAGCAGATCTAAGATGCAACGTTGAAGAATGGTATGTTTTGGCGATAGACAGCTGTGCCTAAGTGCAATGTGCTGGGATAGTGCTGGGTGCAGGAGCTGCTTCTGCAGCATCAAATGTGGGCTGCGGGCCATTCAAATTGAATGCGCAAGTGGAGGCACAACGCACGAGAGAGGGGTGTGTATTTCCCCGATCTCGAAGATGCCTACCTGCGAGTGTAGAGGAAGGAAGCATGTACTGTACCTACATGGAACAGCAAGACGTTGAGGATATTAAACCACTCATATATTCTTCTTCTCCGTTGATCCTTCCGCTTTGTATGTATAGGCGCCCAGGGAGTTGACCAACTGCTTCTTTGCTCATCTCTCACTTACACGCCTCGAGTCAATTATTTGCTTGCCTACAGACCTACCTAGCTGCTGCGCGAGTTGAGCTCGTCACCGTTACCATGCAAGTCTGCCCTTGCCTGTCCCTTAAAGTACCATCCTTCTCGGACTTGCAGCAAGGACCAGCCATGCCAGCCTCCCTTTGCCCATAAAGACAAGAGAAGTCGTGTTGAACCATTTTTTTTTTCTTCCCCCCCCGAGGGCTCCAAGACCCTTGCAGACTCGAATTACGAGTACCACCGTACCTACAGGAGACTAAGTGAACCGACGTGATATGATCTTCCGCCTTAGTTCATGAATGCTACCCTAGGCTAGGCTCAATGGGCTTAATTGCCAGAGCAGCCCAGACACGGCGTCTAGATGGCGGTCTTGCCCCTCTTGTTCGGCAGGGCAGAGCCTACATTAGGCCTGTCGATCGTGTTGCCATCTCTTAAGCCCGCCTGCACCTCTTAGGTCTCACGAGAGTTACACACCTGCACTCAGCAGGCCAGAGAGACTGAACCATGTCTGCCGGATGTGATCTGCTATTCAGGACGAATCCCGCACTCGTATTTGCCTCGATGACTACGGGAAAACGCTTTCCAGAGAGCTAGCCCAGACCGCCAATTCCTCCTACGAGGTGAGTCAAGATTTGTAGTGGTGGTGGTGATCGTAGACCAACAAGTCAATACCGCCTGGAAGAAAATCAGTGAAGAATCAGAGTAACACACACGCCTCGGGGGCCGCGCCCGCGCGCAATGGGCTATTGCTAATCTGCAGTTCGGTAGCGAGCCTTGGATCAGCATCAGACCACGAATGTTGAGTGGTCAGTAGTCCTCGCAGACGGTTACTCGGCCAGATCACAGTGATCAAAGAGCCGGAGCAGGGCGCTTTCGTCCTGGGGTAGGCACAGATCGTGCCCCTTGGGCCTGTCCACGCCGCCGAATGAGGCAAGTAGTGCCACGACACGGGGCAGTTCGGAGCCTGATATGGCTTCCTGGCTGCTGAACGGCTGATTCATCGGGACTTTGTTGCCCGACGACCGCTGCAGTTGCGCATCGTGGCAGGCCGTGGTGTCAGTGCGCGGCAGGACCGGTGAAGGGGGCAGGATGACGGAAGTCAACATCGAGGGCCGGGCGAGGGTGTGCTTCAGGGGGTGGGAGATGGCCGGTATGTGCTCCGGGCTTCTCCAATAGAGCAACAGCCTTACGGCTCCACACACAACGACAATGCTTTCTCTGGCCTCGCTTTTCTAGAAGGGTTGAAGGGCTACAGCCCGATGGATGCTAGTTGATCAGGTCGAGAGCGCGGGGGTCGATCTGATCCATCCATCTCCCGTCGAGCCGCGTTGTTTCAGCTCACCGGGCACTATATTTGCGTCTGCTAACTGTGATATATCACATTTCCCCCAACCTACCTAGGTAGCCCGGGTACTGACACTGCCCTGCTGTGCAGCCGGCTTGTTACCTGTCACCCGCGCATATCGGCAAATTCGGGCGGTCAGAGAAGCGACCCTCCATGTGGCTTGCATCATGACTGCTCGATATATCGAGGCTCGCGAGGGTAGGTAGCTGACTGAGTGCGCGCGCGGCGGTTCACAATGCAAGGGCGAGTTTTTGACGCCACAGTAGCCTTACAAGGATGTGGCCTAGACCGTTGAGACTCGAGAACTACTGCTTGTCTGATCTGATGTAGAGGCTCTTCGACATGCAGTCCGGCCGCGAGAATGGCGGAGGAGACCCCCGAGACAGTGTCTTCGAGACTTGCTCGGCTCATGCCACGCTAGAAGGCCGCGCTACCAGGAAGCGATATATCCCGCGTGGTGGAGGATTCTTGAGGAGGCAACTGCGAAAATAGAGATGATTGTCTGGATCTGACGCGGTCAGATCTCTGCGACGAGTCCAAGACACTCAGATCTACAACTGGTCGAGCATACCTAGGTATTATCTGTCGGTCCAGTAACAAGGGGCTCTGCAGGTGGACATGAGCTCATTCTCTGGCCTGTGCGGGTGCTGCAGAGATGCGCCTAGGTCGCACCTTCAATGTCCACAGCGGCCAATAGAACCGCTGATAGGCCACCTGACCTAAGCAATCCAGCACTCAAGACAACGCACGTCACTGCCGCGTCGAAGTTCGATAGCTCCTTAATCCACCACGATTGTCTCCCAAGCTCAATGTATATTTTATGCAATCTTATAACATCTCTCAACCTCGACTGAGCTTCAAGTTGATTGCCTCGTTATCAAGGTACTTGATCGATACCTTTACAGTGCCCCGCCACCTCTACTTGGCCTAAGTGACGGACTCGACGATCACCGTACCTGTAGATCTCGAATCAGTGCTGATATCGGAATCCATCTTAGTCAAGTGCACCGAAAGACCTTCAGCTACATGACTCTTCAAGCCAGTGCTTGATCATCGCGTGGAAGGTGTGATCCGCCTCCTTGATCGCCATTATCCCGTCTTACCGGGAAGGCTTCCAGACTTCCACGGTATTGCTGGCTTTGTGTCGGACGTCGTGGCGACACACGCATTCCCACCAGCGGCCACATACACGCCTTCCAGCTTCCAGTCTTGGCAGGCAATTCTACACCAGCATCTCGCGCCAGCCCCTAGCCCTCGCTCGGCCCGCCCCGGCTTATCAGATCCAGAGACTCAATATAACAATTCACATACTGCATCTGCTCTGAAGCTCCGGAAATACGCAGTTCGGATTGTCAACTATCCGACCGGCCTCCGAGGGCATTGGGCAGAGTGCAGAGTGTGAGAGTGGGGAGGTTGCACTGCACGGCAGCCATGGAAGTGGACGAGGAGTTCAATGAGAAGAGCAGCCACCACACCTCCTCGTCGTTCCCCCAGCTGACCGCTAGTCGTGAGAGCCTTACCGACGCCGAATCCAAAAAGGCGCACGAGATTCTTGATGCATGCAGGTGGAGAAATATCAGCCAACTTCAGGCTCTTGCCGAATCGCGAGGTGGCTTCCTGACGGACATTCTCCGGCAACAGGCATGTAAGTGCTGCAGCCGCGTCCATGCTTCCTGGCCATTGTAACTGTTCCTCGGGTACCGCATCCCGCTGACACGGCCAATACTGGCTCACAGAAAATATCTCATCATTTGTAACTAACAGTCATATAGGGCCAATCTTATTGGGACTACCCAATCTCCCTGGCGAGGCCAAAACAGAAAGTGACACAGCCATTACTCCAGCTCTGACATCCTCCGAGATAGACGATGGCTCGTGGAAGGAACTTAGTCCTCACAAAGATGAGGAGCAGGTTCAACTTGACGTGAACCGAGCTTTCATCTACTATCCGAGCCGTAAGAACCCCTCCGCTCCAACGATGTCACAAAATTCAGCCCTGGTCCCTGTTGCCCTCCTTCGCGAGCCACCAGCCTGGTATCATGAATCATTACACGCAGCTAACTCACCCCTGGCAGACCAATCCACATCTGAGCTTGATCGTCAGAAACGCGAGCTTTCGGACGTGATCGTCCAAGTGCTTCGACGATATCCCTTTCTTTGCTACTTCCAAGGTTACCATGACATCTGCCAGGTTTTCCTCCTCGTCCTACCGGCGCCACTGCGCGCCCCTCTTGTGGCTCGCCTCTCCGCGCTACGCATCCGAGATTTCATGCTACCCAACCTCGCCCCGGCGGTCGCCCAGCTGCGGCTAATCCCTGACATCCTACGAGCCGCGGACCCAACCCTCTGGCGCCACCTCTCCCACACAGAGCCCTTCTTTGCGCTCTCGGGTACGCTAACCATGTACGCGCACGATGTGCAGTCGCTGGGCGAGATCGCACGCCTGTTCGACGTGCTGCTGGCCCGCGAGCCCGTCTTCTCCGTCTACATGTTCGCACAGATCGTGCTGAACCGCCGCGCCGAGCTCTTCGACACCCCGGAGTCCGAGCCCGAGATGCTGCACAGCATTCTTTCCAAGCTACCGCAGCCCCTGGACCTGGACGGCCTGATTCGCGACACCACCGTGCTGTTCCAGCGCCACCCGCCCGAGAAGCTGCGCGCCTGGAGAGGCATCTCGAGGAACAGCGTGCTCAAGACTGCAAGGAGCACAGAGGACTGCGCGCGCCAAAGCATCGAGGATGGCAGGGAGTTCTTCCGAAAGCAGGTCATAGAGTTGAGGCTCGCGGAGGCAAGAGACAAGGTCATGGCGGTAGCCTGGAGGTACAGACGGCCGGCCCGAGCTGTCGGTCTTGCAGTCATTGTGGGTGTGGTGGCGTACCTGCTACGGCGGTCACCTGCTTCTTGGACCTCTCTTACATCGTGGCTTTCTCGGTTGATCGGGCATTAGATCTATTCATACCCCCTTGTGTACTATTAATAGGCTTGTTATTTTGGATACTTGGGACTAGGGTTGTTGTTCATAAAGTATTGAGCGAGCAGGAGCCGGCTTGCTCTAGCTCTTAGTTTGACTCTCTGGCATTGCCGATCACGCAACTGTTCTCAATAAGGATCATTACTCGTGATGCTCTTATAGGTCTCCTTGAACCAAGGAAAATTTCAAAGAAATGTCAAGATATTGAAAGGCCAGAGTTGGCGCGGTCGTAAAAGTCATTGTGGGACTACAAGCGTTTAAATTAGACTACTCGAGTCTATCCACATCTTTATACGGGCCAACTTGTCGATGTCCAAACACTGCTGGGACAGAAGCGACAGACTCATAACTCCTATGCTCCTCACCGTAAGATCTATCATGAAGTTTCTCCGAAATATAGACATCTAGCTTTTCTTCCACGAAGGTTGAGCCTCTTCAAGCCGCCTCCTGAAAAGCAGTCTTCAGGGTCTCAAAATGCTCCTGTTGCTCGACTGCCAGCTTCCCTGTGACGTCGCTGATGATCGTGAGAATCAGCGAGTAATTGTTATACAAGAACCTCTCCCTTTTCCGCTTGTCGTTGCCGAAATATGACTGGCTGTATTTTGTCAAAAAAGCCTCCATCTCGGCCCTCAGCCGCCGCAAGCTGGTTACTACGGGCTCATCATCTCCAGCCTCCGTGCTCAACGCCAGAATGCCGTGCAATAGCTGCCCGAACCGCTGCGTGGTGACGTGCGGCGCCGCAGAGTGCCCCTGTTTGCCGGCGCTTGGGGCGCGCGCCGGCAGGCCATTGGTCAGCGTGCGCACGCTCTCGCAGTGCTGGTCCATGACAACTTGCAGACGAGGCCAGAGCAGCATGTTGGTGCCGTTGACGTATCCGTCTACTGCCGGGATGCGCCTGCGCTGCAGCTCAAAGGCGAAGTGCTGGTTCAACCTGATACATAACAAAAGACCCAGAGCGTCGTAGGTCTCCCCAGCAAGGGAACGTGTCACGGTTTGACCGAGGGTAAAAGTAGGTTCAAAGATGTAGTTGAAATGGCGAGACACCGTCGCCATAGTAAGGGCTGGGCTGAAGAAGGAAGCTAGGAAGGTGTATTCGGCGGTAGCATTGTCGACGAGCGCGAGATTGAAATTGCGGAAAACCACTTCAAGGTAATGTGTTGAATGCTCTTCTTCTGCTAAGTAGGAAGAAATCGCGACTTGATTGGTGGCCTTCAAAAGATCAATTCGCCGTCCAAGATTGAAAGCATCATGGGGCGGGCCAGCGATCTTGGATCCTGTAAGTACTGTCGTTTTTCTTGACGTATCGTCATGACCCAGTACATCGTTCTTATCTAGCACATGGAGCTTGAGCTTCTCCAGCGACTTATGATAACGACCGAACTGATTGACGTAGTACCACCTCATCGTGTTCATATATGCAAGGCATATCTCATCTGCTAACGTGGGATGATGCCAATGCAGGAATGAGAATAAGTCTTTGAATTTGAGAAAATTCTGTTGCTGTATTATCTGCGCATTGATATGTGGTGATCGCAGGGCCTTGATTTGTGCCACGAGGAAGTCTCGTATCCTTTCCACGGCCTGCACTAGAGTCAATAATTGACATCTCAAAACCGAAGTGTAGCAACCCACCTTTTGACTCAGTTTCTCTAATAATGGGCCAAGGTCTGCCATAGCTTTGCTCTGCCCCTGATTCGAATTCTTGCGATACGCGGCATTCCTTTTGTCCACTTCCGCGAGGACCTTGACCCATGATTCGTCGATGTGCCCCTCTGATATCTTTGACACTACAACCGGTGAAACACTGAGTTCCTCTACGACTGGACCTAGGCTCTTCTCGACAGCTTTCCTGTTCTCCAGTCTCACGTTGAGAGCAGTTGAACGCGCTTGGAGTGATTCAATATCGGCAGAGACTGTGGCAAGATCGTTTCTAAAGCTTGTGAGGTTTGTCTCGACGGAGTTCAGGATGTCATCGCAGGCGCGAATGGACTTGTGGAGCTCTTCAAACTTGGTCCTATCCTTCTCATCTGTACAAGACAGTAAGTAACAGTATAGAAAGTCGGGTGAGAGACATACACTCGTCGATCGTTTGCGATCTATATGCAACCCCGCCATCCCGCTCAGAGCTGCCTCGGGCAAGCTCTTGTAAGGACAGCCCGCCGAAGTCGAAGTCAAAGCTGAGGTCTTCCTCTGTGATGGCTGGTGTAGCTTTCTGCCCCGTCTTCCCCTCGCTCGTCTCGGAGCTCAGTAGGTTGTCCAGTATCTCTAGCGATTCCTTACTGTCGACAATGATGGTAGACTGCTTCAAGCTGGACCCATTCGGTCGTCGTGCGGAGGCGAGGAGGGACGTTGTGGAGTCATTGGAGGCTAATGATAGCGATGACGCTCTAGCCGATCGCGAAGATGTGATGTATGGGCTGCCCTTGCTCGACGTCCTCCTCGGAAGTGGAAGCGGAGATATTGGGCGACTGTTAGACTGAGGGGAAGGGGTTCCCGTATTGGCGAGTCGGTCGAGCCACATGTTCGGAAAGCTTACGGACTCGGTCCTAGCATGGCGGGAAGACGGGTGGGTTGCAAGAAAGAATAGGATGCGTCGCCGAGTGTATACACGATTTAAGTAGCTGTATGATCTCTCTCTCTGGCGTCAGCTATTGTAGATGGGATGGAACAATCGGCTTGGGCAGTCGATGTCGAGTTGATGGTAGAGCAGGGGAGCATGTGCATTGTGGCTTGAGTAGCTGTTAAAGGCAGCAAGGCTGAGTTGTCTAGCGTCAGGTACGCGTCAATTGGTGGAAGTCCCAGCCACAGCGGGCCGTTTGGCAGCCTCGTCCAGTGGTGTTCAGGCCATCCAGTTAGTGTCTGACCTGCTGAGAATTTGTGTATTTGTCGGGGTCGCTGATGCGCTGGCACCCGTAGATCTGAACTGACAGCTACCTTACCTGAGGAGCTCCCTTTCCCGTCCCCCGCGTGCTCCTCCAGTTCGAGTCGAGTCACCGAGAGGCATGTGCATCGGAGCTATTCTATCTTTGTAGGAGGCTGAAAACTGTCTCCTTCCATATGCAATGGCCTGCAGGGACCGACAAAGCTCCTGCTAGCCACTCGTAAAAGGCAATTCCTCCCTCAGGCGTGCATTATTGCTGAGCTCGGGTTGTCCCTAGGTATAGTGGGATTGGGGTCTCACCTGGAGGGGCGGCGAGTGCCAGCGTGCCTTAGTTCCCTAATGAGAAGAGCAGCGGCGAGCCCAATACTTAGGAGAAGATGAAATGCTGCTAGACTAATACGGCCCTTCCAGACCACACACCCGCCAGGCATCAGCGGCCACACAAGCCGCACCAGGTAGCCGGCTAACATAACTGACTGAACTACGGTGTCCCTCTTGTTGCCTTCTAGCGAACCGCGCCAAACAGGAATTTGGGTAGGGTAGGAGGTTAGGTAGGTTTGGTGGGAGAGAGGCGGCAAGGGAAAGCCAGAACCAATCGCAAAAACCTATTTCTTACAAAATTCTGCCCCGTCCTCCACCGACCCCCTCCTCCTAAATATTTCTGCAAACCAGCACCTTTCTTCCTCTTTTGGTGCTTTGGACATCGTTTTGGCCCTGTCGCATCCTTCCTCTCCTCTCCTTACACCTTCTTCAGACCCTCACCTGTCAATATCTCCAAGATGGCGGACGATTCTCAGGTAAGATGCCCATTTCTTTGCTCCTCTTTCGTGGCATCCCCAGCGGAAAGAGGGAAAAATCACCCCGCATCGCAGCGCACCAGCAAACCCCACGATAAATGGCCGGCGCACGGGACTGGGTCGTTTTGCTCGCCCAATGCTGTCAACGTCGCTGTGATGCCTCGCACGGTCATCCAGGTGCTCGTGCTCGATCGTCTCTTCCAACGGTCATCATTGTTTGGGATTCGATAGCTAACTCTTTTGCCCTCTCTACAGCATGAGCACACCTTCGACTCGGCCGACGCCGGTGCCTCGGCCACCTTCCCCATGCAGTGCTCTGCCCTGAGGAAGAACGGCTTCGTCGTCATCAAGAGCCGTCCCTGCAAGATCGTCGACATGTCTACCTCCAAGACTGGCAAGCACGGTCACGCCAAGGTCCATCTGGTTGCCATCGACATCTTCACCGGCAAGAAGCTCGAAGATCTGTGCCCCTCCACCCACAACATGGATGTCCCCAACGTCACTCGTCGCGAGTACCAGCTCGTAAGTTGTCCCGCCATACAAGCCACAACAACACAATGACAATGGCTGACATTATCTCTCCAGCTCGATATCTCCGATGATGGATACCTCTCCCTCATGAACGATGACGGTGACACCAAGGATGATGTCAAGATGCCCGACGGTGAGATCGGTGACAAGATCACCAAGCTGTTCAAGACTGAGGAGAAGGATACCAGTAAGTCCACAATTGCCACTTTTACCAGTCGAATCAACTCTAACATCTTCTCCAGACGTTGTCATCTTGACTGCCATGGGTGAGGAGGCTGCTGTTGAGGCTAAGGAGGCTCCCCGCCAGGGTTAAAGAGCTCCTTTTTTGACGATGTCCATGCCAACGATCTTTTATGCGGCATTGGTGCGGCCTGCCATTGTTGTCAATTGGCATTGGTCGCCAGGGAAGGTATCACATTTTGATGTCACCTAGGCACAATTCATTTGCTTGTCTGGTCGTTGCAACCGAAAAATATTCTATTTGGGCACCTGTTTCTGCAGGTTTTTTAGCACTCGGCACAAAACGTCCTCTCGCACAACTTCGGATTTCCTTTGTTCACCGTATTTCACACATGGAATGCTCTGTCCAGACTATGGATTCTATCTGGTCTGGCAGATGAAAAATGGGTGCCGGCGAGTGGCGACAGATCTGTCCTATAGAATTCAAGATATTTCGCCATCAATTTCGTACAAGCAACTGTGTTAGTAATTTGTGACCCTATCAGTAGAAACCTGCATAGAAATTATGATTTGATGATAAGGCAACAATATAGATATAGCAGGAAAGTAGGCGGTGTTGCTCTGAGTAATACGGTGAAAAGTCAAAGTTGTTGGTTCCATCTTCGTGACAAACTTTCCCCTCTACACGTTGACTGTTCGGGCTGCCATTTCATTCCAAGGCAAATGACAACGCTAAACAATGAAGACAAAACACAACAAGACAACATATCATGTATCATAATGAAATCGCCTTATATTTTTCATCGATTTAGGCTGTGATGCGAAAGTAGAGCGCTAATGTCCAGTCAGCGCGGTCGACATGGCCGCTCAGGCCGGGACCGTGAACTTCACAAATTTCCAAACGGCGAAAGATGCGATGAATGTCGCGCGCGAAGATGGTATTCTGAGAGCGGGTTCAGGTATTGTGAAAATGGACACCGAGTCGAAGTAAATTATTCCGTTCCCCCGCGTCAGACGACTGTTTGTGCTGAAAAATTCTATAGGGCTACATTGAGCGAGACATCGATGAGGAAGAGAACTTTGGCAACACGGGCAAGGTCTCGCGCAAGGAGAAAGAAGCCAAGGAGAAGGTCGTGCGCCATTTGACCGGTAATGCAGCCAGGGAGCTGTTCCTCGAATGTCTGCAGCTCATCCTGCGCAAGCAGGTATGGTGGCTCATCAAAGAGAAGAACCTGCCCGATGAACTCGAGACTGTGGTTCGTGACCTATGGGATCTACGGGTGCGAAACTTCTCTGGGCTGAAGCTGGCCGGCGAGGCAGATGTGGAGTCTGGCACGGAGTACACGACGGACAATGAATTGTTCAGCTCCCAAAGCGAGAGCGAGCGGTCCAGGACCTCTGCATCTACCACGCAGTCGACTGTCAGTCGAGCACGGAGCTGGACGTCACAACCAGGAGAACACTGGAACCTCCCTGCGCTAGTTGACAATCTTGCGATCTGTTACTTGGGATGCATCCTACTGAGGCTGCCCATACGAGTAGGCGATATCTACAACTGGGCCAAGGACGATCAAATGCTGTTCCTGGGAGCGGTTCAGAGCTTGCCGCGAGAGATGAAGATGAGACTACCTGGCTCATATCATCGAGCGCTCATGGCACGGAATTTTCGCTTTCGAGGAGGGGAAGTTCACGAGGCCATCTTTGAGCTGGTCAGATCTTACCATCTCAACTACGAAATGACCTTTCCGCCCCTTAATGTCCCACTCCTGCTGCTTCAATACCTACGAGAACTCGCCCTTCCCGCGGAGGTCTATCTTCAAGTACGGCAATTAGCTTTCCTGCTTGACTTGGACTTCTCATTTGACTTGACCAAACAAAGATCAAGCGGTCTAGACGATCCTGATATTGCTCTGGTCTCTTGTATTATTCTCACGACGAAAATCCTATACCCATTCGACGATGTAAAGAGATACCCAATCAGTCACAACGACCCAACTTGCCTCAAGATGGACTGGGCAAGGTGGCAGACAGCCATGAAAGAATCACCAATCGATCGTCTGGAGAGACGAGACATGGATCGCTTAGGCCCGGAGGATGCATGGGCGATGGATGAGAATAAGCTTGACGATTACATGAACTGGTTCCAGAAGACAAGTCTTCGAGACACAGAAGGTCGGTTCTACATTCCGGACGGGCGAATTTCACTAAAAATTATGCAGATGGTGAAGACTTTAACCTCTTTCCCTTGAGCGAGAGAGCATCTGGATCACAAATCCTCCACGAGACAGACACAGCTATAGATGAGAGGATGATGAAGATTCAAGAATATCTCATGGTGATACGTCCCCGACCCAGCGATGAAGTGAAGAGAGCCGGGGATGATCATGAGATCTACCGAACGGTTGAAGATCTTCCCGACACAGCAAAGTCATTCTATGAGAAAGCTGGCCAGATATCTGGGCTATCAACAGACAGGCTCGTCAAGTCTGTGTTTAAGCTTGAGCGTTTGATTGAGAAATGGATAGTACAGGAGCGGAAGGCGAGTGCATCCGTTGTAATCGATTAGAAATTGAAAACGAATGTACCAGAAGCAATTATGTGGTCGCCTCAAGTTGCCTCCAAGCCTGGCTACAGTCACATCTGAGGACATACCTATGTTAGCTTCAGTCACGAAGGAGAAACTTGCCCCTTGTCCGATAGGAAAAAAATTGGGGCTAACCCATTGACCTTGAGTCAATCACGTGAAACGCCACCTGATTTTTCGTCAGGGTCGCGGTTTCTCTGCTTAGGGCTAACAAATCCCCCACCTCTGTGAAAGTTTCCTCCACTCCATCACGAAGAATCAAGCCGTCAAGACGAGAGTGAGTACCACCCCCCGATGTTCGCCAATATTTGTCGCAATCACAGGAGATAAATGCTGACGGACTGTTTCGAATTAGTTCAACCATGCAGATCTTCGTGAAGACCCTGACGGGCAAGACTATCACCCTTGAGGTGGAGTCTTCCGACACCATCGACAACGTCAAGTCGAAGATCCAGGACAAGGAGGGCATCCCCCCCGACCAGCAGCGACTGATCTTCGCCGGCAAGCAACTCGAGGATGGCCGCACTCTGTCCGACTACAACATCCAGAAGGTTCGTCCAACCTCCGAAGATTTCGAAGAATTCATCTGGTGGTGCTTTCAGAGGAAGAGAAGGAAGGCTATATGGGGAAGAGCATAGGGATTTGCTTCATGCGAACCTCGAGAAGCAAAGACTTTGGGGGCCTTGGCTAACGAGGATTACAGGAGTCTACCCTCCACTTGGTGCTGCGTCTGCGTGGTGGTATCATTGAGCCCTCCCTGAAGGCCCTTGCCTCCAAGTTCAACTGCGACAAGATGATCTGCCGAAAGTGCTACGTATGTGTGATTCCCTGGATGACTTTGGCCGAGCCGAAAAAATACTAACAAGAAGCTTTTCAGGCCCGCCTGCCACCCCGTGCTACCAACTGCAGAAAGCGAAAGTGCGGACACACCAACCAGCTCCGCCCCAAGAAGAAGCTCAAATAAACGATTGTCATTGGGATCTCTGGCGTACTGGGTTTTTGGCATCATGGCAAGAAGATGGCAAGGGGCTGGTGGTCACTTTACAAACCTCTCGATGCTGTGTTTTCGTTCTTAGCATACAGATCCCTCTAGCAATTCAGTCATGAGCATACATCAAACGACCTTGCTTAGCCATTGCATATGTGAACCGACAATTCTGTGTAGTATGATGTTGTGGTATCACGTTCAACTCCAATCAACTTAAATACTGCTACTCATTGTATGAGCGCTGCGTTGGGGTAAATTGTAGCGACTGACCCTCCAAATCTTAGTGGTGTGCCTGTTAGTAGCGATTTGGTCTGCACTGCATAGCGGCTCCGCGTCCCCACCCCTGCAAATGCCTAGAATTACGACAACCTGTCACAAGCTTCCCTTTCCAGCTTCACTCTAGCTACCGTGATAGCATCCACTCGAACGTCTACATCTCGACCACAGGCTTTCACGACGCAACGGCTAATTGCCAAAACATAGTTGAGCTTCTATAAACGAGGAGGACTTCGTTCTTGGAACTGTGCGACAATGTCGGGAGCTGGCTATGATGCTGTAGTGGACGTGGATGACGAGGTGCGATGGCGGCATCCTGCCTGCAGTCTATGGTCAAACTAACAGCGTGCGCTTTTGCAGGGCGACCTCGGCCATACCGACCTCCAGGAGGATCTCGAATTCCATAACTCGAACTTCGCAGATACCACGCCGGGAAACCGGAAAGCTCCTTCGTCCGGGCTGCCACTGCCAGCAACGGCGTCTTCGTCATCGGGAAAGCGGTTCCTGTGGTCGATGTCGTTCTACGCGCAGTTCTTCGATGTCGACACATCTGCTGTCCTGACAAGGTGCTGGGCAGCGCTGTATCCTCGAGCAAACTTCCTCGATGTACTGGAAGGAAATCCCGATCTTTATGGCCCCTTCTGGATAGCGACAACTGTGGTGTTCATTCTATTCCTAGGCGGTACAATCAGCTCGTACTTGGCAACCACAGGCGAGCCGTTTGTGTATGATTTCAGGCTATTGAGCGGTATGTCTATCTTGACATGTGTCCGAGAGGATTTATGTACTGACAAGTGGTGGACAGGTGCGGCTGGTCTGATCTACGGTTACACTCTCGTGATTCCCGTCGCTTTATATCTCGCCCTTCGCTACTTCGGCAGCGAGTCCGCCAACCTCCTAGAGTGCTGGGCGCTGTACGGCTACTCGAACCTGATCTGGATACCGGTCGCCCTGATCAGCTGGAGCCGCATCGACATCCTGAACTGGGTCTTTGTGGCAGTCGGACTCGGATTGTCCGTGTCTTTCATCCTCCGCAACCTGTACCCCGTGCTCAGCGCCACGGACAAGCAGACAAGCAAGATCCTGCTGATTGTCGTGGTTGCACTCCACGTTGGCCTGGCCATTGCGATCAAGATTCTCTTCTTCGCGCACAAGAGTCCGGCAGTGAAGGAATAAGGGGTTTGCATGTGTTGCATTGACAGTCTGAGGACGATGATAATACCTGGAGTTTCTCGAAGTGTGTTTCAGCGGGCATTGCTGTGAGATCACTGTGATATCAGCTTTATGTACACTATTAGACTCATTTGAATTGGGACTTTCGGCGCCAGAAGCGCTCTCAAGAGCATGTCTTAGATCCTATCTACCGTAGGTGACATGTCTTTTTTTCCATAGAATTACATACTCGGCGCACACACGGCCTGTCCTCGCCAGAACGGTTTCATAGCTTTACCGTTCAATCTTCCCGCCCTTCTCCTCCCAGTCTACCCAGCTGCCCGGATATTCGCCCACCGACGTGTAGCCGGCGTCACTCGCCAGAGCCGCAGCCGCCCGGCTCCGCACGCCGGCCTTGCAGTAGAAGACGAGCTCCTGGTCCTTTCCCGGCCGCGGGAAGCCGAATTTGTCCTCGAACTCCTCCTGTGTGATGTGGAAGCTGTCCGGATTCGAGGTGATCGGGATGTTGATCGCGCCCGGGATGTGTCCGCTCTTCTTGAGCTCGCCCGGTTCACGGGAGTCTGTTGATCGTAAGTCCATCAGCCCCGTATGTTTAGAAGACTAGAAGAATCAGGAAATGCGCCTACCGACGATGGTGATGCTGGCGTTCGGCTCCTGTGTAAGCTTTTGTATCTGGAGTAGTGCGGACAATGGTTAGCCTCGGCCCGGAGAAAACTCATGGCAGTCCAGGAACGCTTTGCTAGAGAAGTATACGAACCTGTTCAAAGTCCCATATCTTGCTCTGGGCCCCTGCTGAATAGTACCGTACGCCAATGGGCTGTGCTATCCTCGCACCATTGCGCAGCGATGTCGCCGGCAGGAATCTGTGCTGCACGGGAGTGACGAGTTGCCGGGATGGAGCGGCTGCTACTTTCTGGAACTGCCGCAACAGAGTTGAGAGACGGACTGCTCGTCGTGTCGCCATATTGGATGGGGGGCTTTCAATCTGTTGGTATATGTGGAAAGCTTGCGCAATTGCCCTACCTAGGTAATCTAGACAATATGTTTAAGGTTCAGGACGACTTTGCTGAACCTCTATAAGCTCCAATTCCCGTAAGTGGTGCTTGGAGCCCCAACGACCCCACTGATGTCACCCGCCTGCAGCCATAGTGTTCTGGGGACAGGGGACACAACACATGTGCAGGAACCCAACCAACAAAGCTCTTCAGATATCAAATCACTTCAATGTTGTCAAAGTATATATATGTGGAAGGTCAATAATTGAACTGGATTTTTCCAAAAGCGTCTCGTGAAAAATGTTGAGTCATTCTGTACAGATTATCTCAGATTTCAACGAATCTCCGTGACTAAAGATGTCAAATGTACATAATATTCTGTGGAGAAAGATCTATTTATTCTCGGAGTCTCCTATATAGAGAACTGTCTGAAGTATGTACAAGTACTAAGTATTATAAGTTACGTAGAGTAAGGCATATGTGTTGGTTTTCATAACAGGCCGGCGCCATATGCCGCTGCCGATGCTCTAATATCATGCGATCCAGGCTTTAAAACTCCTTGATATAATGCATGCGAATGACTAGTGGGGTCAGAATTACTGAGACGATCCCCTGCCTGGTGCAGGCTTCGACATCATCATGGCGACATCATGATGACCATCGCCATTGGCTGTTGGTGCGACGCCTCACTAAAATCCCGAGCTGCGTGGGAATCGGACTCAGCCGCATTCTATTATAAGCCCTTTTGGGCTCACCACTTCCTCTCAACGAACGTCAATGGACAGTCGTCCTATATATGTTAGCAAACAGCATTGTCGTCTATCGAAGACAATTGCGCTTACCATGGGGAAGATTGTGGCAAAGACCTTGATCTCCTCGGATCTCGGCGTTGGGTGATGCTTCCAATCCATAAGCAGGGACGCCTTTCCGAGGAACAGCGCCAGGTTGAGCTGCGCATAATGCTGTCCTAGGCAGTAGTGAGGACCAGTTCCGAATACCAAAAAGTTCTTTGCGCCCTTCTCTTCTGCGTCACCGGTGTAGTACCGCTCGGGATCGAACTCGTCAGGGTTGGTGTAGACATCAGGATCCCGCAAAGCCAGATACGTGCTCGGAATGACCATGGCACCTAATCTACGTAAGCATCTCTTTAAATACCACTGGGATAATGTCACTTACCCTTGGGGACAGTGTAATCGGGGGTAATGGGGAAAGGCTTCTTCACTTCATATGGCACCATCAGGACGGGAGGGCGGTAACGAAGGAGTTCGCGGACCACGGCACGTGTGTATGTCATCGACTCGAGCTGGTCCAAGTTGACCGGAGCATGGATATCGCCGTTGCGGACCTTGTAGTTCTCATCTCGGACACGGTCAAGGATCTCAGGGCGTTGGGCCATGATCTGGAAGAGCCAGGTAGCGGCGCTGCTCGTGGCGTCTTGAGAAGCGAAAAGGAAGGTGAAAACGGTCTGGGCAATCTCGTAGTCGCTGAAGTCGCGCAACAAAGGAGAAGGCTTCTCGATACCCTCGGTGGACAGACCGTTCGCCTCGGCTTCTCGCCATTTCTTGGAGTCAACAATCGACTTAACCCAGGCATCCATAATGCAGCTGATTTCACCGCCAGCAGCCATTCTAACCTTGCTCTTGGCAGCGCACTTGGAGAATTCGACCAAAACCATATCCGTCGCCTTCTTGCCATACCAGGTCTTGGTGAAGGGGATGATGATGGGGAAGTTGACCAGCTCAAGGGCTTCGGTGATCAGGTAGTAGTCGTCGGCAATTTTCTTCACGGCGTCATCCGTGATATAGTGTCCGCAGAAGGTACGGAGGGAGACAGCGCACATGATTTCGCGCATCTCGGGCATAAAAGGGACCGGCTCTCCATTGGCCTCCTTGGTGATCCTGAGAAATCGAGCAAAGTACCGCTTATACACCTCCTCCTGACCTGGCAAGTAGCACTCCAGCGCTCTTCGGGTGAAGAGACCATTCAAGCCCTTGCGGAAATCGACGTGCTTCTTGCCATCGAGGAAGACCCAGTTGTCGTCACCCAGAAGTTTATGAGCAACATCAACGACACAGGGCTTGACAAACGTGGGCGAATTGAAGACCTTCCGAGCCATATCCCGGGTAGATGCGATAACAACGAACCTGTGGCAGCAGACGTTAACATCCTTGAGTTTGCGATAGCGTCCAGCTCAGAATATCAGGAAACATACTTGTGGAAGATAGAGACGCAGCTGAGCGGCCCACTCAACCATTTTGCGTAGTATTGCTCGAACTTGGGGTTCATGGAGTCCAGGAAGGGACCGATAAAGGGGGCCTTCCATGAGGGGCCAGCGATGGAGCCTTTTCTCAGCACATACATGACTGTACATGGTTCACGGGGTCAGCAATCTGAAAACTAGAGATTGGCTTGCTTTGCGACGTACTCTGATCATAAGCCACGGCAACTGCCAGGAGCGTGAACAAGATGGTCCATCCGCTCGCGTTAGAGACGGCATCGATGATGTACTCGACCTGAGGAGGGACGTTGACGCTGCCATACTTGGCATTGGCCAGAGGCGAGGTGAAGCTTGTTGCGTTGGTGTCCATTGTTGCTCTCTGCCAGTCGCGATTCAACGCTTGTTTCTTTTTTGTTCTTCTTCTAGAAGAAGGCCCTAGCGCGGGAACTGGTATGCCGTCACGGCCGAGCCTGCGGAGCTTGCAATCGAAGCGGCAATGGGCCTCACACGACGGGAGGATTCGGTGTCGGTGGGGATGAGGGTGGAGGGGAGGAGAGGAGGAGGGTAGAGAGAAGAATGGAGGTCTCGCAAACAGAGAAGCAGAAAAGAGTTAATCGACGGCTCGGGCAGGAGTTTTTAGCTAAACCGGTGCAGCACCGCGAGTTGAGGGTACCGACCGGCGCTACAGGGGGGCTTTGGTGGTGGTCTACATAGTACGGGGGGCCAGTCTTGGTGGGAAATTTCTGATTAATTACAAGACATGGCCCGCTTGGGGAGTACGGCAACGGCCCTGGCTGGGATGCCCAGTCCGTTGTCCATCAACTTTAGTGCAAGTCCCCCCTATACCTTGGTACCTTGGTACCTTGGTAGGTGTTTTGAGAGTGTGGCATAGATCCTAACTGCATGTGCGTCTTTCATGATTTCTTGTCCATCAGACTGATGCCTGAATAGCTAACTGCCTTATGTTGTATAGTACTCGATGTACACGCAAGATGTAGCCGAAGCATCTCTAGAGTCTCGACATGCACCTTCGTTACGCGGTGTGAGATCTGTGCCGCTCGCTGTGCTTGATTGTCTAAGCGTGATTGCACTGAGTGGTTATGTCCAAGAGGCAATTGGATGTCAGTCCATTTGCACGGATTTTGTTGGGCATTTGCCGGTATTCGCAAAAAAAAAAAAACTCCAGAGCATGATTCGACATTGGGCGATAAGGTCACTAAACAGATAAGAGAAGTACCTACTCTGAGAGAAAATCTACATACATACCTAGTAGTAGCGGCGCACATCTGGTGGGGCCGGCTAGGCTGAGATCCGGGCGCTGGAAAACAGCCCACATCCGCTGCAGTCAAATCATTTGTCCGCTGTGCCTGGTGTCTGTCTGCCTTATTCCATTCATTATGTCCGTCATCCCGCAGGTCTGCCACCCTCGCCCTCTCCCGACATTCGCATGCACCTGATCAACGCCGTTTTGGGAAAGATCAAACAGCATGTGGCAAGAACAGCAGGATCGTGCCTACCTACTGCTGTAATTGCCATCCGCAATGGCTTCTAACCTTGCACTCGACGTCGAGGGCGGCTGAGGAAGCTACCTAGGTAGTCTTCTAATTGTGGAATGCTGGGGACATTTGGGCGACATGATGCGCGGCCGCGTTCCTGATACTCGGCTCATGTCATGCCTGTCGTTGTCACGGCTCGCACGATTGGTGACTAGCTTGGGGGCACTCTCGGGGTCTTTGTTGCTCAAGCCAGGCCCGTGCTGAGATTTCACGCTGGAGACGACAGCAATTCGAACCCTCAACATCCAATTGGTCAATTCGTTGCTGAGGCGGCAATAAAAGATGCTTAAATCCTCACCGCCATCTCGCGAATACGAATACGTTGCCGAGTTCGAGGGGTAGCTCTTTCCCATCACACCCACACCACACCCCTTTCCTTGCCCATGTGTGTCGAACCCCGCATCGGCGCGGGGTGGCAGCATTCATTCACTCACCTTGCAGACTTGTTGTCTCAAAAGGTTCCATACAAGCAACGGAACCTCGTTTCGATTATGCGTAACTACCTTTGTCAAGTGACAAGTTGATTATGAACCGGCTATTGACCAAAGCTCGAAATATGGTTATCGAGAGCATGCGTGATTCAACCGATTCAACAGCCCAGTAGCTTGGTTCTGATTGACTGAGGTGAAGGCTATAGTTGTGTCCAAAAGACATCCAGTTTTATCTCATCACCAATCAATCACCGAGTTAGATAACAAGAGCGGGTGCGAGATTGGTGCTTTGATATGTGCCGGCACGGCCAATCTCCTCTGCTGCAAATGTGTCATTCTTCAAGTATGGGCGCAACACGTTCAAGGCGACGATGACTGCAATACAAGACACAAGCTTGTGAAGATAATAAGCCCACGCTCGGTTTGAATGCACTTCTTTTGAGTTTGGCAATATTAATTCCTGGAATGACAACCAATAGCTGACTACTACCATTCAACTTATTAAGAACACAGCATAAAGTGAGACCCAGGTCTCGAATACGTAGTTTAATGTAAACTTGCAAAGACTTTGATATCCCTAAAGGTTGTTGACGTTATTCGAGGTTTTCTTCGACGAAATCTGTGGTCAGGGTTTGGAAGGATATCACTGTGACTTCTCGGATGGCTTGGCCTTTATGAGGAGCGATTGATAAACGGTATACCTGAATTCAGAGGGCAAGGGAATTGAACCTCTGGGCCGGAATAGATCTGGTAGTTCCTGATGGCTTGACGTGGGCAGAGTTTCCCACGCGAAGGGATTTCAACCAATCACCGAAAGTCATGTAGATATCCCAAAGTTTTTCTAGCTTCTCGTAGCTACCCTCTAAACCCTGATGGATTGCGGCAACAATTCAAATCTACGTTATTATGCGAAGCTCGAGCACATCGACTCAGTCATTGCGATAAGCTCAGAACCATGAACTTCGAAGTACGCCAGCATAGCTACTCACCCAAGTAGTTGAAGTACTCGAAAGTTCGAAAGGCCGAACATTTGTATTCAGGTATGCCGAAAATAAGGACAAGTTATTGAATGAATGAAAACGAGGCAGCTTATAACATAACGGTAGTTTGGGTCCGTGATTGAAGTCACGGCGATCAGAAATGGGAAACTTTGTAGTGCTGACGAAATCTGAGGTGGGAAAGGCGAAGCATTTCAAAACAGTCAAGTCTGACGATGACAACAGACATCATAAGCCACGGAGGAAGGACTTGATGCTTGTACGGCCAATGCGGCTCCAAGGAGACCGTCTTCAATGTGTCGTCAGATAAGCGATGATCACTTGGGACGCTTACGAAGGATGATACGCGGACTTGAGCCCGAGTCTCGGGGTCAAGGAATCGGAGCCGGTTGGTTGGCCTTTCTCATGACAGCTGACAAGTTCTCCGGCTTGGTATTACGGATAAGACCGGACAGCATACTACTCCCCCGTCTGGGTAATAAATCTTAGTTCACCAAGGGCATCACTACCTCCTCAACAAGGCATTACTACCTTTGTAGAAGTTGATAGATACATAGTAGTAAACAGAATATTCGAGGGCTTGATGAGTATTATGACCAGAATTGAGTATCTTCACCCTTCAAGAACTAACGTTTATTACCCTGGCAGAGGAGTAGTAAACAACAGGGATGCGGAGGTCCTCCTAAACTGAAGACGTCCTGTGAGGTATGCTAAGTGGCTTTGCTTACACCATCACTGCAAAGAGGCTATCTACGGATTGGAAACTTGGGACATCATTAGAAGCAGGGCAAAGGCGTAAAGCACATGAAACGGCTTGTCCGGACAAGAGTCATCCATCGTGCTTAACCGGAGGGCTTTTGCTTGCTTCGTCATGAGAAATTTCTTTTGCAGTGCTAGCTACGCCGACGCAGTGCGACCATAAATGCGTGCGAAACCGTGGCTTATTCAACTACAGTTTGCAGGCCGACGAATGCGGGCAACGCGCAGCCGGGCAACTCGATTCTATTCGCAGGAGGCTTCGTCACAAAGCGCTTGGCGGGCGTGGAGGGCGGTGCCCGGTGACTCAGGCCCGAAGAGGGGCACCAAAATAGTTGAATCCTGCACGGGGCCACAAAGCTGTTAGTGTCGATTGCGACTGTTGCTCCTTGGGCCTTAGCAGGCATCACCAGTGTGATGGACCAGCACCGCACGTCTGCCTTGGATATCCGGCGTACTGACGAAGATCAGCCTGAAGCCGCGAAAGCCCTCCACGACCGACACGCACACTCGGATCCGAATCTTACAGCCATTGATCAATAGTATTTTTACTCTAGTCGCTAAACAGCTGGAATGGCTCCGCCCGGGCCAACTCTTGACTTTCTGACGCAGCGTCTTACACCCCAAACTCTGTCCACCCCTGACAAGTGACTTGCGTTCTATTCAAATAGACAGCCGCGTGAACGCGTGTGTTTTTTCCACACCATGCAAGCCTCCTTGATGGAGTCTTCTAGATGACTCATACGACTAATGATCCCGATGAAGGGATATTATGATGTTTGACTAAGCGTGATGAGATTGCTAGGGTGGTTCATCGTGGTGGTCGTAATAGTTGTATATAATCTTGCAATAGCCCCTGAGTTCCAGGCAGCCTCCTGAGGTATCACCACAATTCGCAGGCAACACCCTCAATATCATAAGGCATCCACTTCTATATTAGTGTCTCTATATCTTCAAACTTGGACCGTTCATCAACCAAATCTAAGCAAACGGCAAACCTAGGATTTCTCAATATGTCTACAAACGTCCCATTCCCCCTTCCCCAAGACCGACGTCACACCCAGCCCGTCGTCGATATGTTCCGCTATGTTCCCCCGGTAGAACAGACTCCCTACGCCGACGCCGAGAAGCAGAAGAAGCACAGCAGCAAGAGTGACAACGCCTCCATCGCCAGCACCTCGACCTTCGCCTCCACCAAGGCTCTGCTCAAGAACAAGTTCAGCAGCAGCCACAAGAGCAGCAGCAAGGACGCTGACAGGAAGCGCGCCGAGGAGCAGGCCAAGATTCTCAGATCGATGGTAAACATCAACGTTTAATTACAGAGCGTCTCCGTCATCATCTCTCGTCATCAGACTGTCTTTCTTGAGAACAATGTCGCCCTGACATAACAGCGTCAGTAACTGAGGAGCGCCAGATCCCATCCGGCGCCCTCCACCCCGACCAAAACTTCGACACCGACGACATGGCGTCCGCGAAGGAGGGGCCGCAATCGCGGCGTCACGGCAGCACCCGCTCCCCAGGTGAGATTGGGGACGGGCGGAGCTTCGACTCCATTGTCGGCCGTGACAAAATTCGATCCGCAGAGATCCCTGTTGAAAAGGAGGATGGAAGAGCAGTGCAGCAAGAAGGATCCAAGAAGAAGAAAGGAGAGAAGCAGCAGAGCAGCAGAATCACTCTTGGAGAGGCTTTCGGTCTCGGAGGAACTTTCAATGCTTGTTAATGATCTTCAATGTGTTTTCACCTTCTTTAGTCTGGAACATCATCCGGACTTTCCTTTCTCTTTGCGAATATATGGAAAAGTATCATTCCCAAGCCGCTGGCAATGGCAATCGCAGAAAAGGGGTATTGTATTTGCTTAACTCGCCTGCCTGAGCTTACCAGTAGTTACACTCTAAATTGAACACCTTGTCATTTCTCGCATCTAGAATGTGTCGTCCAGAATATTTTGGTTCATCTTCACCATCGTGGGACTATATTCCGACGACCCGTCCGGCTCCGCTCCGGCAGTTAGAAGGATATCCTCTACAATGCGCTTGCTTGCTTCTCGGGCTTCGAAAATGGTCAGATATAACCAGATCGGGGGCTGGGGGTTAGATGCAGGAGAGACATACCTGGTGTCTGCAACAACTTCGACGGAGGAAGAGCAAACTGGATGGTCTTCGGCGGGCTTATGCCTCCATAGAGAGCAAGATCGTCTTCTTCATCGCTGTCCCACGTAATCTCTGGTCGCTCACGCCCCCTCTTCTCCGATTCCTGGGTCGCAAACACATCTTTGGTCTTCCTCCCGGTAGCCGGGGTCTGAACACTGACCCCTGGAGTTCGAGGTGCTGCAGTGGCAGCCGCCAGCTTACTGCGGTAAGCCGACTTTACCGGCGACATAAACGCCTCAGTGCGAAGCGTCGGCACCGGCATCTCGGGAGACGACATAGGTGAGTCGTCTTGCCAAATAGGCACTTTGCCCTTGTCTTTTTCCTTCTCCGCTGGCTTTTCAGTCACCTTCCACTTGATTGGAGAGACACCAGTAGGTTTATGCGGTGTAGCTTGGACGCGATAATTCTTGTCGAGCATCCGATGTAGCAAAGGATCTTGGTTCTTGCGCGCAGTTGATGCGAACAAGTCCTCATCAAGGTCATCACCTGTAGGAGCCATGGATGAGCGTGGAGTCATCGACATATCCGGCAGACGAGCCGTGTGCTGATGTGGGAGAAGGTCGGATTCAGACTCATCTCCAGATGGCTGGTTATCTCCCTTCAACTCGCGCTTCAATGCCTCATACGGGGATCCAAAGTTGGCAAACTGCGGTTGAATGGTCTTCGTCGCTGGCGGGCGAGGCGTGCTCCCACTAAGATCGCCATCGCCGTCATCCAAGAGCGAGTCCTCTCCTTGGCCATGGTACGTTGGCGTCTGATCGGTCATGGCGCTTGTGTCCTTACCGTGTGCGCGAGGAGTGTATGTCGCTGTGGTCTCATCGTGCACTGTTGTCTCCTCAGCTGCTGTGGTATCTTCGTCTGCAGCGAGCTCTTCATAACCGGACAGCGAAACATTGGCAGAGGCCTCAAAGAATTGCTTCCAGAACTACACCATGTCAGCCCCTCTTGAATGCCTATGTATCGGATTTCTAGACGGCAAACCTTTGAAGCTTCCCAGACAGATTTAGAATGCTCGCCGTACTGCTCGACCAATGGTAATATACTCGTTGTCACGATGCGATGCGCCTTGCTAAAGTTGTGATCGATCTCTGCAACATATTAGCACAAAGTGTCGGTAACTGTTGAAGTCAGTCTTAAGTTGATACCTTGCAGTGTCAGCGTTATTGACTGCTCGAGCTTCTCAAGCTCCTCAGTCAAGGACAGATTCCTCGTTGCAGAAGGTCCGGCGCGAGACATTTTGATCAGTGGCGTCAGAACCAAAGGTTTCCAAACAAATTTCTGCTTTAGGACGAATGTCGCGGTGCGTTGGTTTGTTGAAGCGCGTCGTTGATCGCGATGCGGGGCAGTAATTGACCCTATAACAGAGGGGCATGTCGTCACATAGGTAACCAATCGCACTTGCCAACTTTCATCTCTAGACGAACATGCGTCGTCGTGTCTTGACAACCCCTAAGCGCTCAAATTCGTCATGGAAACCCTTTAAGCTGTCAAAATATAGGATTGTCTATTTTACGGGCACATGTAGCCGAGCAATAACTATCTAGTCCTTGTGTCCATGAGGCGAGAGACCAACATATAATCCAAGTTCAAAACTTCCAGCCAGTTTCTATCTCATTTTAATCTTACTACTGATACAGGGTATATGCAATTTTCAGTTCTCCGGCGAATGCTCTCCAATTTTTACATCAAGAGCCAGTGATATCAAATCATCGTCCCCGGCCGCGAGCCCTCGTACGGGCTCTTCCGCGAGCTCGACTGCGAACATTACCGCTTCTCGTCGCTTTGGATGCCGGTGTGCTGGTCTCCTCTTCTCCCTCTTCCTCTTCCTCCTCGCTCTCTTCGTCAGCGTCCCCCGACTCGTGCTCCTCTTCTTCCTCTTCTTCCTCCTCCTCGGCCGCTGTCTCCTCCACCTCTGTAGACTCGGCCTTTTGCTTCGATGCCGCCCTCTTGGAGCTCCTTGTGCCACGCGCAGACTTGGGAGCCGGGCTAGGGACCGGCGTCTCCCCTTCCGTGTCTTCAACAGTGCTTGACCTCGCTTTCGAGGCGGTATTTGCCCTCTTCCGCTTCTTCTGACCGGCGGGCGGCGGCGTCAGCTCCATTTCTGGTGGAGATGTTGGTGCTTCGCTAGGATCTGCCTGGGCACGCTTCAATATCTCTTCGCCATAATCAGTCCAGGGCAAATCGAAGTAGTTATAGCGGTCGTCGAAGGTATCATCTTCCATGTAATCCAAGCTATTCTCCCGATCGTCGACCAGGTCCAGGTTGTAGTATTCTCGGAGTTTCACCCAGATGCCTGGTATTCGTGTGTGTTTCTCGCTGTCCGGGTCAAAGCCATGTTTTCGGAGGTGTTCTGAAATTGCGATCATCCTGAAATGCTTATGCATGCCTTTGAAGTTGTTAGCTAATTAGCTCCTGCCCAGCTTGCGCTTTGCTTAAACATGTAAACACCAACCTGCTGGCTTGTACCGAATAACGCCTTTGAAGAGTGAGGATATTTGGTCGTCCGTCCAGGGGCTAGCAAGGTCGACGGGAGGAGGCTTCAGAGCTGTCGCTGCGGTAGGCGTGTCAGCTGCCGACGCTTGAGGTGTGTCAATATCCATGGCATCGTCATCATGGGCGGCCGGGGTTGCTGATGCTGAAGGTGTCGCAACAGCAGGGACGCTGCTGCGACCCTTCTTCTTGGGTGGCATCGCTTGAGAGTAATCTGAATTTGCGTCTGCGGTGTAATTGGCTGGAAAATGCTTCAGACCGGTCAGTGGTATGATCCACGAGTGAGTTGGTGATTGCTTGCTCCCTGTCGCGCAAGTTGCAGGTCTGAAGCTTTCGGTGAGACTGAAAGCAGCTTGAGAGACCAGCCAACCAAAGCTTGCCCTGATCAGCCCCACCTTGCCATTGACGAGGGTTAGGGTTATTTAACTATTTGCCGCGATCGAGCGGCGCGACCGCGTTTACGATATGAGTATGACAACGATAAATGAAGCTTTGTATCAGTTACCATAACGCCCTCTTCTTTGATGTATGTACGGAATCGGCTGTACATGAGACTGCAGAGTTGCGAGCCACTATGAGTCATGTCTGACGAGGAAGATGCGGCGAATGTTTTCGCTATCCCCGATTTCTGGAAGTCCTCTAAACTGTACGACGCACCAACTGCTGGACTTGAAAATGTAGATCTCTTTGGCATCAGCACCAAAAGTATGTATGCAGACCTTTCAGTTGAATACCAGATCAAGTCTGATGAGACTAGGTGAACAAATCATACAGTTTCAGGACGTCTCAGGACTTGGCGGTGATGAATTCTTCAAGTTGCCAGAAGGTCTCAATGAGCTTGTCGAGCCTGACCAGAATTTGGCCGACGGCCCTAAAAGCAGATTGGAGGATACTGAAACCTTCGACGAGATTGTAGAGCACGATGATCTCTGGCTTTCCGATGACCGAATTCCCTTGAAGCAGCCTGAGTTCAAAACATGGAGTTCATTCGATGCACCTTTGACAGGTCATGCGGCGCCTATCTTTATTTCAGAAGCTGGACCGGCAGCGTACGATGCTCTGCTTGCGTCAAACGAAAACCCCTTCGGAACCAAATCTAATGATCGATTCGATACGCTGGATGACAAAGCCTATATCAACTGTCTCCTTGCTTTGGCACTCGGCCGAGAGTCTTTGCTCTTCACCTGGAGAAAAGATGATGGCTCTTTTGTTGCGAATCTGCCTCTCACAAAGATCTCTGGATATTCTGGGGATGTACTCCGGGGCATTAACAAGGCTTGCCTTGAAAGTGGCAATGCAAATCGACATCTGCGGTCCTTCGTTGATTCGATGTATGCTGCGCATGCTAGCCCTGCCACCGTTGCCTTTGCAAATGCCCTGGACAAAATACTCCTCGTCATTCAGTCGGAACTGGGCTCCCGCGGCCAGAGTGTAAGGTCGCTATTACAATTGCAAGCAATTGTCCGTCCCGTACACGCCATAACCTCCTACTTTATGAAACTCATTGTCAGATTGACCAAATCAACATCAGAAGAGAACCTGCTTTCGATCTTGTTTGAAGAAGCCCAATCAGCGGAGTACGGCGAGCTTTACCTTCGTGACACAATGCGCGAGGTCTTAAAGATGGTATCGAAACCTTGGACAGATTTTGTTGCAGAGTGGATTGGACTAAAGCCCGAGGAAGGTATCATCATGACCAAAGAAGGGCCAGGCAAGAGCTTTGTCAAAGTCGACAACAGAATGTGGGTGGATGACTTTGGGCTTGAGATGGAAGAGCCAGACTTCTTTTTGGATGAAGAGAAAATGCCATCCTTCGTACCAGACGACGTTGGTCAGATGATCTTCGAAACAGGTCGCAATTTGCGCTTCTTACGGACCTATCATCCTGACCACCTGCTTTCACATATGGAAGTCGACGATAGCGTGTGCCCTCGGCTGGAGTGGCAGTTCGACTGGGACGATATCACAAGGATCGAACATAAAGCCGCCGTGTACCAGCAGGCTGTTTTTGATGCGCTTCGTCGGAAGACCACTTCCGACAAGATTGCATCGCACAAGTCAAAAGTGCATACAAGTATAGGATCTTCTGAACTGAAGTTCTTTGGAAGAGACGAAACTCAGATTGAAGACCAGATGCTGGCGTCTATAGTCGCACTGGACACCCCTATTCAAACACCAGGAGCAGGCCACAAACTTGCGACCATACTTAGCCAAAGACTCTTCATAAGAACGAGACATACGCGGACGGGCGTCACAGATTTCACACCGCATTGGTCTCTCCTGCCTCTTTTGTCATTTGGTCCTCTCATATCGACGCAATCTCGTCTGATAAACCGGGAATGCCTTAGGCTCTTGTTCAGTACGCACAGGCTGCCCGAGCACCTACACCTGTTGAAAGAGTTCTCGCTATTTGGAAACGGAACTTACTGCAGCCGTTTGTCTCATGCTCTATTCGACTCAGACCTTGAGGGGACTGAACGGCATACAGGCGTAGCCCGCTCTGGGGTTGGCATGGGCCTTCGGTTGAGTAGTAGGGATAATTGGCCACCTGCAAGCTCAGAGCTGCGGTTGGCGTTGATGGGCATCTTGTCCGATAGTTTCATCACGAAGCAGAAAGGACAGGATTCCGACCGCTTGGCCCCTTCCACAAGGCAGGATAGTTTGCCAGGGGATATGAGCTTTGCGGTTAGAGAGTTATCAACGGAAGAGATGGAGCGATGCATAGATCCTGATGGCCTCGAAGCGCTTGATTTTCTCCGTCTATCCTACAAGCCACCTTCAACTCTCCTTCCTGTGATGACGCCCACGATACTGATGAAGCACGACCGGGTGTTTAGACACCTCCTACGCATCATTAGGATGCTCTATGTTGTCAACCAACTATACCGAGATATTTGCCCGCGAAGTAACCATCCGCAGCAGTCGAGCAACGCTTCTCTTCGATTCAGAAGAGAATCTCACCACTTCATCTCTCATATAGCGGCGTACTTCTTTGACACTGGTATCGAGCTCCCGTGGAAACACTTGGAGTCCTGGTTGGATCAAGTTCAGGCAAAGCTCGAAGATGATGGCTCGGGGCTATCGCTGGAGTATAACCACAGCCCAGATCGGTTGCGGAACTATTACGAAGGCACTTTAGACAACATCATGCTGGCATTGCTTTTGAGAAAACGGCAACAGCCTGTTCTGAAACTCCTAGAGGACATCTTTAACGTGATTCTGAAGTTCGCCAAGAAGGCCAGGCAAGAGGATCTGGAGAAGGAGGCAGCACATCTATATAGGTCCTTTCGCAAAAAGGTCGACGTCTTCATCACCGTCTGTCGAGGCCTGAGCGAGAAGGTGGGGTATAGTGGCAAGCATGATGGGGTAACTCCTAGGAGCGTCGATGGGTACGGTGAAGAGCATAGTCTTGCTCGGCTCTTGCTAACGCTAGATATGTCAAACTACTATAGCAGATAGTCGTCCTCTCTCAAGAGGCCCGCCATCAAGCGCTCACTATCTAGACTAAGCGCTGGGTGTATCGAGACGTTGATTACCCTGAGCAGTTCTATGGTGCTTGGTTCTTACCTCTTGAAGCTTCATTCCCCAGACTCTTTAGGGGGTTGTGTGGGAACTCCCTCCACTCCCAGGGCTGATCTCCAACTGCGCCCAGGGTTCCTCGATATCCCCTCATTTGTGGTCCTCGCTGTGGACTTCAAGGGCCACCCTAAGGCCAAGGAGCCATTAGGTCAAATGAAGGAACAGACGCATCGTTTCCTCGAGGACCCTGAATTCCTAGCCGGCACTGACGACGTGATTAGGCCAATATTCAGCTGAGCATCACTCTATCAGACGAGATCACCCTGCAAGGGCCGAGGACCAGAGGTTGAGATCGGCACCAACCCCTTTTCCACCAGCGATGCACTGCCCCAAAGTGAGCTATTTGCCTCGTAACAGCTTCGTCGTCTCGAGACACTCAAGCATTCACAATCAGTCAATGGTGCACTCCCAAGGGCCAAAACACTGGCACGCGTTACGCGTCCCCGCTGGACGGTGAATAGCCAGGGGTAGGCGCTGGGGGGCTGCCCCCAGGAGGAGGACCCGTCGGAATCAGACCGAGCACGATGCAACTCAGCGACTACCGCCTGAGCCCACCATCATCTTGAGTCCCTGCTGAGCCCACCCACCCATCCCACTTTCCGTGGAGACGACGCAGATGCCGCTTACTCCAATTGAGTAATTCTGGACGGGCACTGTACGTACGGTGCGCGAAAACTCCCTGGATTTCTCCCTGCCTTGGTTCTTAGAGACTTGGAGTGCATGAACTAATGGGTCCTCATGGAATATTCCGTCTCGTTGTCGCTTGCGGTATCACCAACATAGTAAGGCCGTCGGCAGAAGCCTGCTTCATCGCTTCGTTTCTGCGTACCCCCACTGCTAGCCACCGTGAGACGGAAATCTCCAAGGCATCTAACGGTCACCATATTTTAACCTCATGGGTCCTAACTCCAGGGGTCCCGAGGCAGTGAGGGGACAGACAAACAGACGGACGGCCCCTTCTGTTGAGGCGCTGACTTCAGTTACCTCTTTCTGTTGTTGAGTGGGCTCCGAGATCCGATCCGAGACTATTGCTTCGATCTCGAGCTGACAACTTGCGTGAGATGCTACGAGTAACATACCAGAATAAATTGCCCTGCATACATCATACACAACCATCTTCTTGTGATGTCTCGCGGAGGGGGGGAAAGGATCAAGCGTCAATAGGCCATTGGGCCATTGGGACGAGCAACCAGCTATCGGAGTCATGTCCGGTGCTGGTCCGATCATTCTCCTATGTACTATGCAGTAAACTACGAGAGCCAAATCTCGGCGTCATTCCAGAAACAATGTCATGCAGGAGTTGAGGACCCCTCGCGCCATTGCCCGCCAAGGTGGCCCCAACTGACCCGAGGTTCGTATCCTAAACATCCCGCAGGAAACCGTGCTAGCTAGTAACGCTGCGTGCGAAAAACCACTGCTCCCTGAACCCTGGCTGGCGTGGCCGCAGCTTGACATGCCGGCCAATGCTGGATGACGTACTTATCGTAAACTGTGAGAAGTCGCAGCAGGGGGAAGAAAAATTAATCAGTGACAAGAGGGAAGAAGGCGGAGATCGGCTTTCTAGCAGATTTGGCCGACGCCAAGACCCATCAACGACCTGCGGCCATCTGCAATCAGTAAT